TGCCCCGCTGACCAGCCGCAGCCGCCTCAGGCTCCTTGTCGAAGCCGACTGCTTCGAGCTTGGTTGCTGCGCCTTCGAGATAGAAGGGCAGCTCCTTCATCATGCGTCGAGCATCCTCCGTGGAGCCGAGGAGGATGCATAGCTTGGACCCGTTCCAGGACTTGGTGTTCAAATCCTCCTCCATGTCGATGCCTTCAACTTTGATCTCGAGCCTGTTAGCGATCTCCAACAGGACTCTCTTGACTCTTGCGATGGACGTGTTGCCGCCGTTGCACAGCCCCTCCATCTCCTTCCTCGTGAAGCGACCAGATGCCGCCGTTGACTTGATGATGATCTTGATCTCCTTGCCGTCCTTGCCGCCTGCCTTCTTCTGCATCCTTGATGCCTTCTTCAACTTATTTCTGGACACAAAGCGATCAGCTGTCAACTCGACTGCGAGCGCCTCTCTGATCTTCGGGTCCTCGCTGAACAGAGTCAGGTGTACTCCCTCCATCGCTTCGCTCTCTCGGAAAGCTCGAAATGCTGTATCATTCGCCTCTGGGCAGCTCGAGGAGACGATCCACTCCACCTCCCTCTGTCTCCAGATGACGTTGGCCCCTACAGCGACGAAGCCTTTCTGACCTAAGCCTTTGTGGACTTGCTGTCCTGGCGCCCCAGCGACCAGCATGCCTGCCAGCGGCTGGAGTTGGACCGCTGCAAGGGACTGGCGCAGCAGCTGATAGCGATAGACGGCAGCTATCTCAGCCGTTGTCATGCCGCCCAAGGTTAACAGGTGGGTCAGCTCTGCCAAGCTGCCCCCTTTGCCCCAGGGTCCTCTCTTGGCTCGAATCTTGAAAGATCGATCGTGCACGATGCTCACATGTACAGCTGTGAACTTGCGACCATCGATCGCGAAGTCCTCTCTTCCCTGCCAGAGCTTCTCCGCTTGTGCATTGCGGAGGAAGGAAACAGTCACCGGGATCTCCTCAGCACTCGCTATCTCGGGTCTATACGGAGCCTTCCACATGATTGCTTTACTCTCTTGCACTGAGTCTACGATCAGTCCGATCTCTTCGAATTTCTTCTTCAACTTCTCTTCGTTCGGATAACGCTTGGTGAAGCTCTTCACCTTCTCGACGAGGTCGGCGGCTCACCCTGCGTGTATTGGCATGATCTCCGATACAGCAGGTTGCGAACGCTCTCATCATACTGTAGTACCATACTTAGAAAGCTGTTTGAACTATACGAACCTCTTGCTCGCAGCTTCCACCGGTCCCCTTGCGCTCTCCCTACGCGCCGCAGGGCAGCATGCTCTTACTAAGGGCCGGCTGCTCTTACTAAGGGCCGGCTGCTCTTACTAAGGGCCGGCTGCAGTGCTCTTACGCTACTAAGGGCCGGCTGCTCTTACTGAGGGCCGGCTGCTCTTACTAAGGGCCGGCTGCTCTTACTAAGGGCCGGCTCCTAAACCCCAAACCCTAAGCGTAGGTTGCGGAGGTGTAGGCGGAGGAGGAGGCGCGGAGCTTGGGAGGAAGAGGTTCTATCAATCTAACAGAGCAGGTACATGCCTTCAGCCGACGGAAAGCTCGTGAGCGCCTTCCAGTGGTTCGAGAGTGCAGGACGTGAGTCTCTTGGTGAGATGATCGCAGGGTATTGACCGTCGCTGCCGCAGGTTCTCCTCCCCCTCCTCCTCCAGCAAGACGAACTTGAGAGCACGTGAAATCAGCTACATGACTTGTGTTACATGCAAGGACAATTGACTCCAACCTCTGATATCCTCTCCTCTCAATCCTCCTCATCTCAGTCCTCCTCATCTCGCTCCTCCTTCCTCCCTTCTCGCTTCTCCTCTCGCTCCTCATCCTCTCGCCCTTCACAGAGGCTCATCGTCTATCCGCACTGACTGAACTTCTCGGAGGAAGTGAACCACCTCCCAGCGCTCTGCGGAGCTCGCGCATGTTCCTTTCATCTCCTCGTCCCCTAGTTTGTTCGTGCGAGCCGAGTGCTCTGCGTTGTCTAGCGGCGAGTCGCCGTCCTCGTCCTTGAGGAACACGTCTCCGCCCGCCTCTACAAGAAGGCGAACGGGACCGAGCCTGCCTCACAGTCAGGTACCGAGGGGAGAGGAACGAAGGAAAGCAGGTCATCACCTCCCCGCAAGAGCTGCGAAGTGAAGGGACGAGGAGCCGACGAGATCAACGACGTTGACGCAGCAGCCGAAAGTTCGCAAGAGCATCTCAATGCTCCTCTCTTGCCCTACAAAGGCGGCGAAGTGAAGCGGAGTAGCCCCCCACCTGCTTCAGCTTCAGCTTTGCCTCCTCAAACGATGCTACCGGTTGGTGGAGGAGGGGTTCGCTCCTGTGATCATCGTCACAACAAGGCAATCGACATGAGTTTGGTCACCTGCTTCCACAAGCACTGACATCACTTCCGTGTGCCCGTGAAGAGAAGCGTAGTGAAGAGCAGTCGCCTCCAGCAGCCGAGGGTTCCCGCCGTTTGGATCGTGACCTTGAGAGCTGCGGCGAATCGTGAGGAACTCTCTCCCTCTCGTCCTCTCCTCCTCCCACATCAACTCTCGAACCCTGGTGACGTTTCCTGCTCTCGCCGCCCGCCAAAGCCGAGAAATCTCTCGCCGCCGATGCTTTACTCCTTCTGCTGCTGCATTCTCCTCCCTTCCCCCAAGCGCACTTTCAACTTCCACAGGGACGTTTGCGTATGATGGCGAGGCGAGAGACTTCCAGGGCTTCTGGACCTCACAGAATACAGCACGAGTAGCGTTTTTCTCATCCTCAATGGCTGGGTCGGAGTCCTGATAATCCTACGGAAATTTCAGGCGAGCACGTAGAGGAGTCAAGGGATGGAAGGAGAGAGAGGAGAGGAGGAGCGTTACCGCCTCATCCAGTTTGAGTTCCTCTGGTGGCACGCTGAGTCGAGTTGGCAGCCCGGGAAGAAAGACGTCGCAAGTCAAGTCATGACGGATCTTGACCACGCTTCCGTACTTGCCGTCAGCAGTGATGACGTCATCTCCCACCTTAAATTTGCTTCCCTCTACTGTCTGATTCGCCTCCTCTTTCTCTTTCTCCTGCTGGCACAGTTAGGAGCTTTCAGCACTCTACAGCATTGGGAGTTAACATGCTCTGCTGGGTTTTGAGCTTCTTCCTCGTCGCTCTCGCTCATTCCGGCGTCTCGCTCAAGTCGCTCAAGCGCTTCCGTGTATGTCCGAATCAGATCGCGAGCTTCTGGTAAGCGACTGCCTGCCCGCAAGCGATGAGTCATGAGGGTAGGCAGGAGGAGGAAGCAAACCGTGCAGCAGCTCCATAGCTCTGCTGTGTGGCTTTGCTGCGAACTGCTCGAGCACCTGAGCAGCTGTGCTGAGCGATGGGTGTCACAGGAGCACACCAGACCTTGCTCGGGTCCTTGATAGTTGGCGGGTCTGGAGGTGGAGGGGCAGGAGCAGTGAAGTTGACGCAGCTGACCAACTTGTCCACCTTCATCTCATCGCTAGGGGGTAACGACTCTGACACGGGTTCGAGAATCTGAAAGGACTCTGCTTCCTCTTCCGCTGAGTTGATCGCATCCTTGATGTTGGTCTCTCCGGCCCCAGGGCTCGTCGGCATATTCTCATCCGTCATTGTCGCCCCCGCCGATGGCTGCGGCTTCACCTCAGGCTCCTTGTCGCTTGACGACTTCACACTGCTATCCTCGTCCGTCATCTTTTGCTCGGGCAAACCTGTCTCCTCACTGGAGTCTTGCCACAAGTCTGAGCATCGCCCTTCTCCTACCACCTCTCCCTCCCTCCATCCGTTCTTCCCGGGGCTGCTGACCCCTCCGTCAGGCTCCGACTGCTCGAACACAATCCTTGTGCCGTTCCACTTGACTGCCTGCGGTCGGAGTCAGATGCGATTCTTTCTTCTCCTCACTCGCCGTGGGCATCTTCCATTCTTTCAACGTTTCTTCCTCTTTTCCTGCCTCTCCGACCTCGGCTCTCTGCCTCCAGTCAGATCCGACTGGTCGTCAGCAACGAGCATGCACTCACCGAGCGGAGCGACGACTCGGCCATCTTTAATGCCGCATCTCGAGCAGAGAACCCTCCCCATCCTCCTCGGAGAGTCAAAGCTGAGTGACCTTGAACTCCAACGGTAATGACAACACTCGCCACGACTAGCGCTGAAAAGGCGGAAGTGACTCAAGTCAGTTTCAGGATGCAGACGACGATAGTCAATGAGCCCCCATCATCCTCTACAGTCTATCTTATTCCTGCATCGTTCCGGCCCTCAGAATCCTCACTTAGCTATCTATCCTTCTGCTCTTCCACCGCGACAGCCAGCACTCTCTGTCTATTTCTACCACCTTTGTCGCCTTCCTCTGTCTTCTCGAGCAACCATCGTATCTCTTCTTCTCCCCTCCCCTTCTCGCCTCTGGCTTACCGCGCATGATCGCTCCTTCTTGTCCCCCCATCGCCTCATGCTCACTTCGGCTTCCCCTCCATCCCTTCCCGCGAGCCAAGCCTCGGTATCCTGCACTCTGTCCAGCACTTTTCCATGGATGGCGTGGGGCAAGCCTGGGGCAAGCGTGGAGATGCGGATGAGGGCGATGAACTCAGCGATGAAGTTTCGTAAGCGGGGATGAGGGACTAGGAGCGAAGGGGCGTGTGGGAATGCTCAGGGTGTTGCTGGTGCTGCTGGTGGTGCGTGGGGGGATGGGGCAGGAAGGCGCGGGGCATGGCGCCATGACGAGCAGTGACAGCATAAGCAGCAGCGACAGCATGAGGAGCAGCGACAGCATGCGGAAGATCCTCATGCCCTCTGGCTCTCCTGATGACGCGGCTTTTGCTTCTCCATGGCAACAATTTGTCGCAGAGACTTGGGGAATTTACCCCAAGCGGATCAAGGAGGCCATGGAGCGAGGAGAAGATCCAGAACCGTTCGCAGCCACTCGCACCCAACCTCTTGAAGTCAAGGCTCCGTCGCACGACATCTTCACTTCTCCACCAAGCCCAGATCAGTATGGTATTTTTCCCACACAAAGTGTTCCACCTGGGAAAACACACGACTCTGTCGGCCAGAAACAAGAAGAGAAAGGCGATCAAGGACCAAATCCCCCTTCTCCAGAACAAAATGGCGCGGGAGGAAATCAGAATGGAATGAGCGATGTCAATGAACATGGTGCAAGTAAGTTTGTGGAGTGGTTTGATACAACCTTGATTGTTTCTCGTAGAGGACTCATCGGAAGGAGCCGATAAGAAGAATCGAATGCAACCATCAGACGAGAGTAATGACGACATGTGTTTCTCATTCAATGCTTGACCATGGTTGTTCTAAGGACCAGCGCCACCGCATAGCCCACAGTCACAAGGTAGGTCATCTAGGAGTTCAGTGCCACAGGTTCTCTTGCCGTATTTATTGACTTTGTGACGTAGATTCATCACAACCATCTCAACCCAGTCCAGACATGACGGGCGTCAAGTATCCCAAGCACATCGCAGGTTCCAATGTTTCTTATCTGGGATTGGATCTCAGGGGGTTCCAGGTCTATAGTCGGATCCAACCGTGTCCTCAGTCCCCGTCCTTCCCTCACTTGTTGCTTCCATTGCTTCCATACCCTTTTTGGCTTCTTTTGTTTATTTTTACTTGCGGGAAGATGTGCCGAAGAATCGCTCTTCTCCCCAACAAGTTTTCAGCACGAAAAAGTTTCATGTGTAAAGTTTTATTTCAGCTTGCGAACTCTCTTCTCATACGCCTCTATGCTGGTTAAGTCACCCTTGGATCCACTCATGGCTTCTTTGAAACGCGTGAAGATTTCTTTCAGCTCCTCACTCGTCTAACTCTCCTTCGCAATAGCGTTGAGCAAGATGAAAAGTCCACTGTCGAAGCTGCTCGGCCTGTATCGTTCCGACGGCCTCCGCTGGTGCTGCGCACCGTCACAGAAACTATGCTCGCTTGCTCTTGTGATGCAGACGTGTCTGCAAGACCAGGCAGAGGACGTGAGAAGCTTCCAGAAGGGAAGCTCCTTCCATGCCGGCACGACTACGACGAACAGCGTTTCCCCTTGCAATGCCTCCAGCAGCCTCTCGATCTTCTTCACCATCGCCTCGATCAGCTCCGGCATCGATGCTATCGACGCTGAGAGCCAGTGAGCAGAGGAAGAGGAAAAAGCGACAACACTGGAGACAAGAAGCGCAAGAGCAGCTGAGGGGAAGGAGAGGGGAAGGAGAGGGGAAGGAGAGTACCTGAGTGAGATACGCCGAGGAGGAGGAAGTCACTACCCGAACCACCTTGACTACAAGCTGAGGCAATCGCAGGAGCCGAGCCCGACCTCCTCCTCTTCCTGGTGCTGCTGGTGCTGGTGCTCCTCCTCCTCTTCCCTCGGCTGCTGCAGGAGGTTTCTCATGTGCTACTATGGCTGGAGCCACGAGGACGAGGCTGTCGACGAGCATCGAGTGGGCGAGGAGGAAGTTGGCAGCCACCAGACCCCCGAGCGAGTGTCCGATGAGAACAACAGGGAGGTTGCGAGCGGCAAAGCCCTGGAGCTGGAGGTGGAGGAGGAGAGGCGAAGGGTCGTAGGTGGCAAGTGCTGGTCCTCTCCGTGTGAGACCGAAGCCTGGCATGTCGAAAGCGATGACATGCGCCTCAAGGACAAAGTCAGAGGAGAGGAGAGGAGAGGAGAGGAGAGGAGAGGAGAGGAGAGGAGAGGAGAGGAGAGAAGAGGAGAGGAGAGGAGAGGAGAGGAGAGGAGATGAGACGAGACGAGACGAGACGAGACGAGACGAGACGAGACGAGACGAGACGAGACGAGACGAGACGAGACGAGACGAGACGAGACGAGAGGTGAAGTGAGGAGAGGTGAGGAGAGGTGAGGTGAGGTGGGGTGAGGTGAGGTGAGGTGAGGAGAGGTGGGTTAGAGGAGAGGTGAGGTGAGGAGGGGAAGGAATGAGCTTGTCGATTAAAGGTATGAATGAAGGACAATTATATGCCTCAAAGTCAAGGATGGATGTGCGAGAGCAGTCAGGATTCCTTCTCTCCGTTCCGATAGGAGGAGCACAATGCTCCGAAGTCATGCACGCACACGACAGCGACGTCGGGCGCTTCGCCTTCTGCTGGCAGCGCCTCCAGGTAGTGCACCTCCTCCTACAGCCCCGTCAGCGACATGCCCTCCTGCTCCTGCTCCCGCTCCTCCTACGTCACCTCTCCAACGCGGAGGAACTTGCTGTCCGCGTACTCGACCTTTTGCTCGCTGTAGAGTCTGGCATAAGCGTCATGGTCTCTCGTCTCTTCCTCTGGCTTCAAGGTCTTTCTCTGAGATGTAGAATTTCGATGTCAACCTCCCCTGCACGAACGAGATCACCGCTCGCATGATCCCCATCGCCGCCTTGTATGAGCTCAGCTTCGCCAGCTTCATGCCCTCGCAGCTTCACCATCCACTCCATCTCCTCGTCCTCCCCCTCCTCGTCCTCACCACAGTTGGAACACCATGCTGCAAACCCACAGACAGCAGCGAAGCACAAGGAGGCTGTGTTCTCTCTTTGCGTGAGCTTCTTGTAGCCGGGCGAGGCATCAGGATGGAACGGCTTCCTCCCTCCCCTCATCTTCACCTCCCGCCGCCCTCCCCTCCCGTCCCTCTCCCACCTCCTCCTCCCCCCCCTCAGCTGCTTCTCCCAGCTGGGATGGAAGCCACAACGACAGCAGCCCTTTCCTTCTCTCTCCAGCTCCTTCCCAGCTGCTCCCCAGCTGCTTCTCCGACTCCCATGCTGCTCAACCACGGCGCCAGAGGCAGCCATGCTCGCATCCCCACCCTTACGCCTCGGTATCGGGGTAGGGGGAAGTGCAGAGAAATAACGAACAAGGGACTATGAAAATATGACTAAGGTGCTGCCCCCACCTTGCTTTCTGCAGTCACAGGAGAGAGTGATGATGAAGCAAAGGGTAGAGGGAGGGAGGGAGGGAGGGAGGGAGGGAGGGGAGAAGGGGAAGGGGGGAGGATGGAGGGATAGCGACTAGAGGTAGAGAGGAGGGGAGATGAGACGGCAGCGATAGTCTGGAGAGGAAGGGAACTTGATCTTCGTGACCCCAGGAGAGGAGCTCTGAAGTCACTTGAGGGAGGAGGAGGAGGAGGAGGAGGAGGTGTGAAGGCTACTAGCGGGCCAGCCATCTCACTTGACGTGCGCAGGTCGCGAGAGCGTGGGAGGCTCTTCAATGGTCGAGTAGGGCGGCAGCGGGAGGATGCGACGTGCGGGAGGAGACGAAAAGGTTGACCGGACGCGCTTGCTGCTGCTGACGAGCGTCGTCGTCCTCGTCACCTTGTCCCTCCTAGTCGACCCTCGTCAAGACGTGCGAGTCGAGCTGGAGAATAAAAACCCACAACTGCTGGCAGCACAGAAGGTAAGACGGATGTTGCTGCTGCTGCTGCTGCTGCTGCTGTTGCTGCTGCTGCTGCTGCTCCTCCTCCTCCTCCTCTTTTTGCTGTATGATTGCATCGGCAGGAGCTTCAAGATTCTTCTAAGAGGGTTCAAAGTTCCCTCAAGATCCTCGAAGAAGTTGAAGATGATGTGAGAGATGAAGAAAAATTGACCTCAACTCTTCCCTGCCTGCCTGCCTGCTTGCCTGACTGCTTGCCTGCCTGACTGCTTGCTTGCTTGCTTGCTTGCTTGCTTGCTTGCTTGCTTGCTTGCTTGCTTGCTTGCTTGCTTGCTTGCTTGCTACTGCCCCTCGTGCCTCGTGCCTCCTCCTTCTCGTCCCTTTGACCTCCATTACTTTCAGGTACCAAACTGGATGACGGAACTCCCAGCTGGGCTTGTCCATGATGCTCTTCGCGGTCTCACCTCAGCTGGAGGCAACCGGAGCTCTCGAGCGAAGCAGGAGAAGGATCCTCGAGAGAGAAGCAGCGGCAGCAGGAGCTTGAGGAGGAGGGCGAGGAACGAAGGAGCAGAAGAGGAGAGGAAGAAGGTTGGGAGGAAACACCCTTGCTGCTCTCCCTCATCTTCCTCTTCAGCAGGCGAAACTTCGACTCCACAAGCTCAAGCAGAGGAGAGATGCTCATCACCGGATCCTGGCTTCAGCTGCTCTTGCCCCTGCTCCTGCTCCTCCATCTCTCTCCTCTCGCACTCCTCCTGCTCCTCCATCTCTCTCCTCTCGCACTCCTCCTGCTCCTTCCTCACCTCCTGGCCTCACCTCAGCTGATCGTCTGCTGCTGGGGAGGCTCTTTGGCTTCAACACGGTCTTGCATAAGCTGAGCACAGTGAAGCATAAGACGTACAACCTCGCACTCCATGGTGAGGCGACAGAGAGGAAGCGCATGACTGACCTGCTGCTCCTTAGACGCCGGCACGCACCAAGAAGATGAAGGAGCTGCTGTAAACTCGGTTCTCCTCCTCCTCTTCTCCACTTTTCCTCTCCTCCACATCCTCTCCCTCCTTCTCGTTCTCTTTCTCCCCCTCCGTCTCTCTTTCTCGTTCGCTGTCGTTCCCTTGTCCTCTCTACTCATCCTCCTCCAGGTTGTCTCTCAGGCCGACATGCGGAGGAGCAAGCGAGTCACCGACAGCCCCGAGCTGCTCAAGAAGTTGAGGGACAGGAGGAGGCAGCAGGACCAGCGACAAGCCCAGCTGAAGGTCACTTGCTCCATCCCCTGCTGCCTCTTTTCTCATGCTCGTGCAGAGCGAGCAGCAGCTCGAGCAAGCAGCTCGACATCTGCTGGACAAGGTTGACACCAGCAGGTGTGAAGGGCAGCTGAGAGGCAGGTGGGGCTGACGCGGGCGGGTGGCAGAGACCCCTGGTTGAGATCCATCCTCTCGAGAATCGCCACTGATACTGCCAAGGCGAGGGACACCCGCCCCCCTCTTGCTTCTCCTCCAGCTTTCCTTTCCTCCCTAGCACAGCTCCTCCTCGTGCTGCTCGTCCTGGTGATCTTCAATGGCTGTTTCCCACTGACGTCAAGGCAGACGGAGGTGGCGAAGGAGAAGATCTCGCGCATGAGAAGCGACTTGAAGGTTTTCATCTCCTCCTCACAACCTCCCTGATGATGCTCGCTGAAGGTCCCTAAGAGGGAGCAGGGCTTGAGGTGACCTGACTGCTGCTGCTGCTGCTGCTGCTTCGCTCTTACTTGCCTGTCTACAGAAGCGACAAGCAGGAGCCTGCAATCATGATCTTGGACCCACACGATGCCCAACAGCGGTACTGTGCTCCTCCTTCTCCTCCTCCTCTCATCCTTTTTTCGCTCCTCCTTCTCTCCTCTTCTCCTCAACATATCGCAGGAGGAGGGTTGAAGCTCAGCGCCTTCTCCAACATCTTCTGTCCTCTACTCACGACGACTTGAACCGCATGCGAGCTGCTCGCTCCTCGCGTTCTTTGCGTCTGCTCAACCACTACTCCCCGCTCTTTCATGTGAGCCTGTGCTTGTGCTTGTGCTTGTGCTTGTCCACGTGCTCGTCCTTGTCTTCGCCCTTCCCCTAACTTTCTGTCAGAATCCTCGCTCATCGCACACTCGTCTGAGTGAGGAGGGGCGCGGGCGTCACCTTCATGGACTTGACAGCGACGAGGGGAAGGGGCGAGTTGACCAAGATGGTGGAGAGGGAAGTCGAGAGGACGGGGGAGGGAGCGAGCAAAGAGGGTCAGGAAGCTGGTTCGGGGAGTTGGGGCGAGACCTTGTACAGGATGTGAAGAACGTTGTGTAAGAGGAGGAAAAGGCTATCATGCCTTCAATCTTGTTTTCAATCTTGTCTATCACAGCTTCATTCTTTCGTGATACAACTACAAGCACTCTACGTTCTTCCTCCCCCCCACTTTTCCTTTCAGAAATTTCGGATGTCAAAGCCTGGGGAGAAAGAAAAGATGACAAGGAGAGAAGAGGAGAGAGGTGAGGTGAAGGGAGGAGACTTACGGCTGCGCTGGAAGTAGGCAGGCGCTTGTCGTCCTTAATGACTGCATGGCGCCATGTGGGGTCCTGGAGTCCCGCAGAGTGAGAAGGGAAGGAGAGGGAGGAGAAGGGGAAGCACGAGTGGAGCTACCTTACATCCCCTGCATCCCCTGGCTAGTGCCGTCCATGGGTCCGGACTGAAACATCCCGGCAGCAAAGAGAGGTCTGCAACAAGTGTCAGGGCCCTCACAGAGGAGGAGGTAGTGGTGGTCCATTTGGAGTGAGAGGGAGTGGTCTTACTTGAAACTAGTCCCCATAGACAGCGGCGCCCCTGTTCCCTGCTCCATGAAGATCTTCATATCCCTGCGCTCGAGATCGGAGGGGAGGAGATCTCTCGGAGGAGTCCGATCTGCTTGGGACCCTGCTGGTTGAAGGGACCCTGCTGGTTGAAGGGAGGGCGTGGGTCACTCCACCAGTGAGGAGGAGGAGGAGTGTTCTTGTGGCCCATGGAGGGGAAGGGAGCTCCGGCGCCTGAGAGGCTCTGAGGAGGAAGAGCGGAGGGGTTCCCAGCAAGCAACGATGACGATCTCAGCATGACCGAGTGAGGACAGGAGGACAGGAGGAAGCAACAGAGGAGTATAGGACGAAGAAGGAGGAAGGGGCTGGAGGCGCAGAGGTGCAAGAGGGACGGAGCAAGGGACACGAAGGAGGAAGGGGAGGGGGAGGGGTGCATGAGCGGGAGCAACGAACCTGACAAGAGTGAGTGCACTCTCCCGCTCAAGCAGGAAGGTTGGAAGACAGGGTCAGTCTCTGCTTTTCCAACGCTTGTCATCCTGCGACGGAGGATTCTGCAGCAAGGGATCGTCAGACTTCAACGCACGAGCAAGAGACTTCTCTTACCCGCATGTTGGGTGCCGGATAGGCCGAGCTGGAGGGACATGCGCATCAGGAGAGCAGCAGGAGAACCAGCAAACGTCACTTCGTGCTCGTTGTTGATGGCATCGCCTGCTCCTCCGCCATCTGGCAGATCCTGTGCGCGCGCTTCGCCATCTCCTCCGTGGCGAACTCACGCTCAGCTCGGATGCCATTAGGCGAGGCACGGATGACCCCTTGGAGCGGGTCCAGCAGTTTAATCTTCAGGTGTGCCTGAGACCACAAGCTCGACCAGTTGACGATGAGCAGCGTCCTTCCTTTGACCTTCGCTGAGATCAGAGGATTCTCCTCGTCGTTGTTCCTCTCGTAGCTCCCTCCTCCCCACGCTCCCGCAGCTACTCCGCTATCTCGTGCTACACTCGCAAGCGCGTTGCTTGCCGCCTGCATGTTGGCGTTGCTGAAGAGTGAGGGCTCTAGGGTGACGAGGGGAGTCGGCTTGAGCTCGTTGTTCGCATCCTTTCCCATGGTCATCTTGTACACCTCCAGCTCCTCATCGTTCAGGAAGACGGTCTTGTTACCAACTGTGTAAGGTTTGCGCCTGACCTCCCCGGAATCTGTCAAGAAGGAGAGTGGCAAATTGCAGCTCAGCCTCCCGCGCTCACTCGTCTTGTTGGAATCCACCGGAATCGCCGTGTTGCTGCTGCTGCAGGCGTTGATGACTGCGACTCAGTCTCCACCTTCTTCATCAGAGCAGCAACTGGGCCCATCTCTTGCACACACACCGAGCTGCAGAAAGGCAATCACAACTGAGCTGTGAAGCACCTATTGCAAGAGGAAGAAAGGGGGACTAATAGAAAAAAACACGAGGCGTTGCGGCATGAAACAGTGGGTGGAATCAATCAAGCTACCTCGCAAGAGCACACAGAGATCCAGCGCTACCTCTTGGAAGCAAAGAGAAAGCTCTTCGTCCCTCAACGTATTCATCTTCAATTCCTCAACGCTCTTTCCTTGGAGATCTGTCTCCTGCCTAGCTCTGCTGTCTGTAAAGGCTTTCATTCTTCAGTGTGTGACAGTACGCTGCACAACGATTCTGAGTTGTAACTCATTCGCTCCAATTTCATGCACTCCCCGTCTCTGTGTCTTCTCCGTTCGTCCTCGTTGCTGTCCTACTCTGCTAGTGTCCCTGCTGCATGTTCTGTCTTATACCGTCTCCTCTCAGGGTATCCTCCTTCGCTTACCCTCCCTCCTCTGCTCGTCTTGTTTGGCAGATGCGTCCTTCTGATCTCAATTGCGACCTAGCAGTAATGCTTGCAATGTAACGGCACAAGACCATTATACCATTCTTTTTGATTTGTTTGCGTTCCAAATCATACAATTCTTGATGACATTCAAAGATTCCTTCACCTCCAAGAAATTCTGACATCGCCTTTTTTTTCGGTTGGCGGCCTCCGAGCCACCCGGCGGCCGGGCCCGGCGGTGGCTGGACGCCGGGTGGGCTCTATGGCAGTCTATGGTGGCCAAAACTCTGACCGTTGAACTTTTGACAGGTGTAACGGCCACTCGAAAGTCATGCCGATCAAAGGGACTGGTTTTGGCAGTGGCCGTCAGAACGAAATGATGGCATCAGGAGAGAACAACATCAGGCATTCACCAGCGTCTCACAAAAACTCAAGGTGGCAAATCTCTGGTTTGATTCAAGGTTGAACGTAACGCTCCCTTTTTCTTTGAAGCACAACGAAAAATTCCACTGCTGTCATTGCTGAGGTGGAAAGAAGATTAAGCTTAATCCCATGATATCTAACGCAATGTTGACAGGCTCTGAAGTTGATAGAGGACAAGTTTTCGACGTGGGATCGCGACGATGCAGGGATGCTGATGTTCCGCGCGGTTGAAGCGGGACTCGCGTCGGCAGCTTTTGTCAACCGAGACGCATTGCATCGAGTATGAGAGTTAACGCATGACACTATCTCCATGATCCTGATCATTCTTGTATCCGACAGGTATGGCGTGAAGTTGATATGGACAGGAACGGAACATTGGATTTCGTCGAATTCCTTTGCTTGGTCTTTTTGTGGCCGACGATGGGATCATATCGAGATTTCTTTATCAAGTGATTGCATGGCACCAGTGGGCCATCCAATAAACGTAACTTATTGCATTTGCATGCAGAGAAGAGAATGAGAAAACAGTCAGTGAAGCTTTCATAATACTCGAGGAAACATTCAAGAAGTATTCGGCGTCTGTTTGGTTGGCTATTCATGACTCACTACTTTGCGTTAGGCATGATACTTCACAACAACTGATTCTCACTCAAAATCAGCTAAGGAAAATGTTTGCGTATGAGTTTCCAGATTTGGTTGTAGACGAAGGAGTGATTCGAAGGTAGCCATGTACCTTCATTCACACCAAGAGATCGGATTACTAAGTTTCTTTCTAGTCCGTTCATCCCGGAAGAAGGAGTCACTTTTATGCATTTCATGTATATCATGTACTTGTTTGTGTCGTCCACTTTTCCACACAAGATTGCAGGACGCTACAGGTATTTAGAAACCCTATATTTGCCTCTCTGAAACTCAAACGTCCCTTTACCAGTGATCTTCACCGTACTGACATCGAGCGTGATGTGAAGCGACAAAAGCGCGAAAGCAGACTGATCTTCCGCTCGCACAGGTTACAGGAACGGGTTCTCGCAGCCTCTTTTGGCAACAATTGCGAGAAGCTTTTGAAGTAAAATCATGAAGATGTGTACAAGTTATTTGACATGCTGCAAGATCTTAGAGCTCGACTTCAAGATCATTGATGCAGATAAGAATGGCGCGATTGATTATATCGAGCTCACGAAAGGCATTGAGGTGACGATGAAGACATGAGGCAAAGACATAAATTTAGATCTTTAAAGATGCGACGTGGAACAGAACGGCTGGCCATCCTTGCAAGGCTTGAGCACAAATTCCACAAGGTAACAAATATAGTGCTAAGTCCAACTCCCTGAATGTTCTGTACAGGTGGATCTCGATCGCTCAAAGCAGGTGCAGCACTCAAAGGATTGGCACTGTCTGCAGAGTCTAATTGTTGATTTTAGATTGACTTCTATGAGTTCATGTACTTGGTAATTACGGAGAAGGAAAGGGAGCTTATTGCTTTGAGTTGATGGGATTTTGTATAGGGATTTCTGATGATACAAGATGGATCATATTCAGGTAAATTTTAACGGATTAGTTTATCTAACAGAAAGATCAGATTTAAGCCAAGAATCGCACAATCGTATTGCAGTGAAGAGAATGTTCTTGAAAGTTCACAAGTGATTATAATTTCTGTGTTCTCCGGAACAGTCATTATTCTGTCGGTAGGCTGTTTGTCAAATACGACAGAGACAGAGACTTTAGATTGAATCAAGTGATACTTTCCTTGCCGACAAGTGTACACAACTTACTGTTGCAAAAGGCCGAACTGGAAAATTTTGCGATTGGAGAATTCGGAACTGTGCCATCGAGTATGAAACAGATTGCAGATGTATGAGTTGATAGATAGGATCAGCTACCTTGACAGTACCTCACTTCCTCGCAGACGATTTTGAAACCTCCTCGCGGGTACCACAAAAGCTCGCGAGTGCTTGACATCATTCGGTTGGGGTATCTGCTTTCAGTCGCAAACTTGTCACACGTTTGACAGCTTCATGAAGTTGCTCTACTTCCTCGTGTGTCCTGATGGATCTTTTTCGCTTAACTCTGGATATCAGCCAACCAAGATCAAGCGGTACGGACTTCCTTCTACTGCTCTCTCCTTTTGTTCTCCTTGGCGTTCTGAGATGAGTCGTTCATTCCCGCACATCCAATGCCCTGCTTGTTTCTGACGACTCTGATATTCCTCTGTTGGGATGTTGCATCCTGATATCGATCTTCTCTATATCTGTTCTCACGCCTCGAGAAGACCTCTACAGCTTCTCAGCATTCCTGGAGGGACGCATGTTGTGAGAAGAGAGCGCATCAATCAAGTACGACGAGGTTTGAACTCGGTTACTTGTGACTCGCCGCAGGTCACTCATTTGCGATTTAAGAAGGGCAAACTAATCGGAGAGGTTGGGCCTTCTTCTTAAACTTACTTTCAACGTGCTGGTAGGGAACTCAAGCTAGGGTCTTCAGCGGCTTCTATGACGGACAACCCGTGGCCGCCAAGGTAAGCAAGGGGGATGCGACATGGCGGGAACATTGAAAAGCTAGAATGTGTAGAGGAGACATGACTGGTTTTGCAGATTTTCAACAATCTGTCAATCACAGAGATTGAAAATGATGTTCTCAACGAAGTCACTGTCATGCTAAGACTAAATCATCCTCACTGCGTCTTTCTCATCGGAGCTAAGATCACTCCAGAAGATGGCGGGCCCCTCATCCTTACCGAGCTCTGTGAGGAGGGCTGCTTGTTTGACCTCTACGCATGCCGTCAGATCAGGTGAGGAGGGCAGGAAAAGCAGCAGCGAGCTGACTTCCTTTAGTTTCGACCATCAGACGGCTTGGAGAATTGCAAGGGAGTGCGCGTCAGGGTTGCAGGCCGTGCATGAGATCGGATACATGCACAGAGACGTGAAGAGTTTAAACATCCTCATGACCAAAGGCTTTTCTGCTCGCCTTGCTGACTTCGGACTTGCTGTGCTGCAAGCCAAGAGCCACCACGACGCTTGCGGAACAGTACAATGGATGGTGAATGGAAGAGGAGGAATGGAGGAGGAGGGAGGAGGAGGAGGGAGGTGGTGGAGGAGGGAGGGAGGGAGGGAGGGAGGGAGGGAGGAGGAGGAGCGCAGGGGAGTGGTACAAGTTAACGGAAAATCTTTCCTTCTACCAGGCGCCAGAAGTTCTCGCAAATTACTTCAACCCTGCTTGCTCCTCGTACGACAAGCGGTGCGATATCTTCTCGTACGGGATTCTCTTGTGGGAAATCTTCCACTGCAAATGTCCGTACGGAGAGACGGGATATGATCAAATGCAGGTTGCGAAGGTGAAGCAGAGACACAACCTTGCTCCGTTTCTTTTTCTGACAATTCTTCCCTGTTTTCTTTCCCTTTTCCCTCTCTGGAATATTCTGGTCCCTCCAATCTCTTCCATGGATTCTCCTCATCCGGACAGGCTGTCTTGGAGGAGGATATTCGTCCCACCATCTCAAGACGTGTTCCGTCCTTCGTGAGGTGAAGCGAGCACACGAGCATGAAAGCACAGAGAGTGATCCGCGTCGCAGCAACCTCATCATGTCCTGCTGGGACTCTCGTCCAGGCCTGCGACCCTCCTTGAAGGGCATCCTGCAGGTGAAGCAGACAAGTGCCAGCATGCAGCCTCACAACCAAGCAGGTGCTCGACCAGAACCGTGAGATCTTGCAGAGAAACTGAAACTGAGACTTAAACTTCCCGTGTTGTTTCTATTGACCATAATGTATTGTAGGATCATGTATGAACTGTGCTCGCCGAGCTCCCCTAAGCTCCTCAACAACCTCCATCATCTTGTTGACCTTGTGACTTATTGTCTCTGCAAAATCACATTGTTACTGCTTGGAGATGTGTGGTGGATGAATAAAGTTGAGGATGGAGTCTCTCACAAAATGGAGTCTCACCAAGAAACGATGAAATCTCTCTGAGTTCAGAATAAACAGCATCCAAGCGGTTGTCATGCTGAAGATTTTCTCTTTCTTTCAACTGCCAGTGGAATGAATAAGAAACGCTATCGATGGTACATCGACTCACGTTCAGCTGGTGTGGTGAGGTCGATAGCAGGAACGGGAGATTCTCTTGAAAATCAGTCATCAAGTTCTCTGTCTGTCCTAGCAGGTCAATACAAATGACATGGCACGAGGCTCCACCTGGCACACGACGTCGTCGCACGCATCATGGTTGAAATATTCAATGTTTACATGGCCTCCTTCTCTTGTTGCTCTCCCCTCTGTTTCTTTGTTTCCTCTTTCCACTCCAGGTTCTTGCACACAGTGAAAGTTGTCGCGCGCCTGGATCTCAAGATCGTTCTCGGACTGCACTCGGACACTACTCCAATCGTCGGTTAAGCCCATGACGGTATGAATCCCTATAGTGTGGGTTGGAGACGAGGAAAGAGACGAAGAGATGTGACTGCTTGCATGCGTCTCTCTGCTACAGACTGTGTTCTCCGATGCGCTGTGCGAGGGGGGTTTTAGCACGTCAACCTCCTCCTCCACGTGCTCCTCGTAAGCACACTGAGATTCCTCTTCGGCCCTCTGCTCCTCTTCTTGGATTTCCCTGAGAAGATCATCGTCTGACAACTCTCTGAAGATGCTGCTTGCTTGTTGTGACGCTTTGATGGACGATACCTCGGCGTTCAGAGAGGAACATCCTGCCTGCACCTGTGGCCAGGTCAGCTTCATTGGGTTGCAAGCATGTAAAGAACAAAGATTTGTCGATCACCAAGGTATTGTGTTGCTCTAATGTAACCGAAAGCGAGTTGTTTCTCTGTATGTAACAAGTCGGCGCTCCTTGTTTACTCTTGGGCTTCAACTTCTGTTTTGCACCAACTTTTTGTTTGTCTGCTGGTTGTTTTCGACGAGCCTCGGAGTCAAGGAGTTCTTGTCTGATAACCAAAAACTCAAAACTGATGAGAAGTGAAACAAAACCATCATACGCTAACGCCTTGATGTCAAAACTTGCAGGAATCTTGTCCTTGACCTTCTTACTTCTTGACGGTTCATGTCTGCTGCAAAGATGAAAGGAGTTTTGAATGGTGAGATGAATGGGGATTTGAACATTGCTCATAAGACCTTGCAGTTCGCAGACTGACAGACTGCAAAGGAAAATTTGAGAAAACATCAAACCAAGGCTTGATCTCTCACCACCGAGCTCTTCAATCCATTGAAGCTAAGCTGTTACACACTTAGTTTCTACTTCGCCATGCTCAGAACACCTGAGGGGTTGCTGCGGTCCTTGCATTGCTTGACAGACAACCACAATTGAATAGCAACGCTGCAATGACGAATAACCTCCGGCTCATTATCTGTACAAGTTATCGAATAAGCCCAAGCGTATGCCTTGGCAAAAGCGTGAATTCGTAGGTCTGTATAACGACGAGTTCCTAGAGGTGAAGGCTGTTGTTAGAGGGCTGCAATCATCGGACTCTTGGCTTGTACTTGTAGGAATCAGCAGTTCGGACTCTTGGCTTGTACTTGTAGGAATCAGCAGTTCGGACTCTTGGCTTGTACTTGTAGGAACAGCAGTTCAGACTCTTGGCTTGTACTTGTAGGAAACAGCAGTTCGGACTCTTGGCTTGTACTTGTAGGAAACAGCAGTTCAGACTCTTGGCTTGTACTTGTAGGAATCAGCAGTTCGGATGACGCTTGCTGCCACTCCACTTCATCCCCTCAGCTCCTTGCCTCCATCGATGCTCGCTTTGTTACCCGACCATGGTGGCCACTTTTTTTATTTTACAGATTATTTTTTTCTTTTTACTCAGTTTTTTTTATCCGACCCGGGGCGTTGGGTCGGACCGAACTCAACAACCGAAGCGGCCTGAGTCGGTTCGCAAAGGCTGTCACGTGTGCATGTCAGTGCCAGTGGTGTGCGACAGTGTCCGGGTGGCACGCCTCCCGGACAGAGTCCCGGCTCGACTCTCCTGATTGTCCTCCGATTCCCGGCCTGTCTCGGCGCTTGAAACCGGTGATTCGCTGCGGGGGGCACCGCGCCATGCCAGCCGCGATGACCCAGGCTAGCCCCCTTCATCCGGCGCCGGATTACCGTCACGGCGTCGTACTCCGTAACGTCAACCCTGCCGATGGCCGCCAGCGCCCGGCCGTAACTTAGTCACGCATGATCCGGGCCGGATGAGACTTCCTTGCTGCTTAGCGGCTTGCAAGTTTGCTCCGGCGAGCCGGCAGCCAGGTCCAGTGTCAGGCAGCCGCGCCTCAGGCCCAGTGCCATGACAGTGGCGGACTCCCTCCGCAGCCGCCGGGGCCCGGCCTGCTGTGTGACGGTCCAGTCTTTCAAGTTTTACTCAAAGTTAAGTAAAAAAACAGCCTAGTATGAGGATCGCCAAGGGAAGGGGCTCATCAGTGTCTGCCGCAACAAAGGATGCCGCGACAAACGATGCAAAGATACTAGTATTTTAGTCAACTCTCAGCCCGCCCCTGCACCTGACAGATGACCATTTGTTTTTTGATTTTACTTCTGCGCAAAGTAGAAATTCCCCATCATTTTTCAAGTTTTCTCGTGAACTTCTCTTTCAGTTTAAAAATAAAGAACTTTACAACACCCGCTAACGTCGTCATATATAATTACGACCTTCTTGGTTGACTGCCACTCAGTCACTTTTGCCATGGTTGGTTTCAAAGGCGTGAGCTCGTTGGCGGCGAAGATTGAGCGAAGCCTCTCTGAAGGCTTCGGCTATGTCGGCTCATGCGTAGGTACATATCCCTTCCGATCTATCCTGCTTGCTCTTGTCATGTGCATGGCGCTCCTGCCAGGATTGACCATGATGAAGTCCGGGAGTGAAGCGGAGAAGCTGTATGCACCTGCTCGTTGGAACAGAGCAAGGGACGAGAGAACCCTGTATGCGAAGCTTTTTGGCATCGAAAACGTCAAGAAGCATACCTGGTGAGATCAGACGGTATGCCTGTTTGAGCAAGCTGATTATGATTTGATGTGTATAGTTCGCTTTTAGCTTACACCAGCGACTCTGACAACAATCTTCTCGAGGCGAATGCAATCAAAGCTCTAAGAAGGATACACAATGGCATTCTCAACCTAACTTTTGTGGATTCCAGCGGTGATACAGAAGTCCTATTCTCTTTCAAGGACATTTGTAAACGATCGGACGTTGTTGGCTATGAAACAAACTGCTCGTTCGTTGGTGTGGTGGAACTGAGTGACAGTGAGATTAGCAGCGTTCCAGCTGGCATTTTTTTCAACCCAAAGTTTGGATACATTCCTGTGGCTTCTTTTTTGGGGGGCCGAAGGCAACCCCAAGGATCCTCCTACGTGGAGGGGGCGAGTGGTCTGTTGCTCCAGTACGAGCTCGAGGCAGCAACAACGAGCTCGACGCTCAAGTTGTAGGAGGAAGGCTTCCTCTTACACGTAGGAACTGTAGCTAAGGAGCAGGCAGCTTCGTTGCCCTTCAAGCTGGCATACGAGATAGAGAGCTCGCAAGAGGAGGAACTATCGAAGAGTACAAGCGGCGACATCAAGCTTCTGATCGTCGCATTCGTGGCAGTAATGGCCTTCACCTTCATCGTCATGCACTCTTTCATGGACAAGGTTGCGTCCAAGGCATCTCTGAGCTTTGCAGCGTGTGGAGCCATAGGCCTTGCCATTGGCAGCTCCTTCGGCCTCATGGGGTACTGCCAAGTGAAGTTCAATCCCGTGGTTTCCTTCGTGACTTTCTTGTTGCTGGGCCTTGGGGTGGACGACTCTTTTGTGCTGGTGCAGGCGTATCACTATACGGTAGAGAACCTGGGCAAAGATGCGACTGTGAGAGAGCGCACAGAGCTCGCGTTCAAGACTGCAGGAGTCTCTATCTTTTTCACATCTCTTACTTTTTTTTGGAGCGTTCATGGCGCTAGACGCTCACCGGGAGTACCTTCAAGTACCGTGGTACTGGTCGATGATCGGAAAGGGGTTTCTTTGGCCCAAGATGTATTCAAGCGAGGAGACGCCGAGCAAGAATAACTACATCACAGACCAAGGACATTGTCGCACCCAGCCAGAGACGCAGCTCCTCAAGAGACTCGGCAGAGCGTATGGAGAGATGCTGCTGCATCCTCTCGTGTCTGCTTGTGTCTTGGTCCTCTTCGCCGGGTACATTGCTGTTGCTGTCTTCGGGGCGTCAAAGGTCGGCACAGGGCTTGACGTGCGCAACCTTGCGGCATCCGACTCATACTGGACCATCTTTGTGACAGAGAGGTTCCGATTGTTCAACGACTACGGGCCTCTGTACCTCATTGCGTTCCCTGCTGCAGTGATCGACGTGTCGAAGCCTGGAGAGCGGACAAAGCTGATGGGGGTTGCAAGGGAGATAGAGCAAGACAGTTGCTTCCTGCAAGTGCCTCAGGGCCTGTGGCTGAGAGACTTTCAAGCTTTTGTGCGAACAACAGGAGCAGACGAGACCTTGTTAGAGGGCGAGGCTTTCTACGATTCGCTTTCCGTCTGGCTGGCAGGGACCGGAAAGGTTTATCTCAAGGATATCATGGTCACATTCAAGGAAGGAAAGGTTGTGTCCATCGAATCATTTCGTATGAGATTCAGGCAGATTCCAGGCACAACAACAAGCGGAGACAAGTTAGGCGTCCCTTGTATGAAGCAGGTGCGAAGGATCCTGGACCAGAGCTATCCTCCAAACAAAGACATCCGTCCCCTCACCATCGATGATAGAGATGTGTTTGTGTACTGGGAGGGATCGGCTATCATCGTTGAGCAAACAGTGCTGAACCTGATCTATGCGGTGAGCCCTCATTGGAAAAGGTAAAATAGGTTGCCAAGTGCCCTCTTAGGCTTTTCTTCTAGGCGGCCGCTTGCTTTGTAGTGACGGTTTTCATCATACCGCATCCGGTCCGAGTGTTCTGAGCTCAGCTCGTGTCTCACACGTGGGGCCTCAGATTTTGTGCTTCATAGCGATGATCGTGGTGGCGATGATCCTGGTGGGCGCATCTAAAGGTAGCAAGGTCACTGAGTGGGATGAGGCAGGTAGGAACGCTTGCCAGCATGTCGCTCATCTCCAACATGAACATCGAGACAATTTCCATGATCGACCTGGTGACTTAGCATTGCCCTCGATGTCTAGAGCTTGAGCGCTTGTCCGCTAATCAAGTCTCAGGTGTTGGGGATAGGTTTCTCTATCGACAACGTCGCCCATTACGTGCACGCGTTCATGAGCAGTCAGGCGATGGCGTACGGGGAGGAAGGACAGCTGCAGAGGGCGGCATCGAGGAAGGCAAAGGTGGTGAGGAGATGGAGGAGGAGAGGACCTGATAGCAGCGCTTGCAGGCGATTGATGCTCTTGAGAGGATCGGCCTCCCGATCCTCGCCGGCGACCTATCCACCATGATAGCGCTCCTGGCGCTCCTAGGATCAAAGAGCAGGATCTTTTTCTCCTTCTTCTGTGTAAGAGCTCGTTTGAAGTCTCCGGCTTTCCTCTGACCGTGACTGCTTGCCAGATCCTCTTTGCGGTCTTGCTGTTGGGCTGCCTGCACGCAATCGTCCTCCTTCCTGTTGTCCTGGGATACTTCGGGCCCTTGATCACGGCGTCGCATGATGAGGCCACCCCTCCTGCTATGAGCCAGCTGAATGTAACGGTAGTCAGCGTTGACAGCAATGCCGATGGGCGGGGATCAGGCTCACTCGCAGAGCAGGGAGATTAAGAGTAGTGTAATCTATAAAGCCAAACCAGCACCACAACCTCCTCCTCTCTTCTCCTCTCCTCTCCTCTCCTTGTTCTTCTCTTCCTCTTCCTCCTCCTCCTATCCTCCTCCTTCTCCTCCTATCCTCTTCATCCTCATCCTCTTCCTCGGGCAACGCGAAAAAAACGAGAGATCAAACAGTAAAATGTTGCCTCAAGAAACATGTCAAGGAGAAACGATTGATACCTTTGATTGATAAATGGGTCGATCACATCAGCAAGATCTCGTATCGTGGTAGCCTTATATTCAATCACTGATCATGGTAGAAAAACAACCAATTTCAGCATTTTGACTGAGTTTTGGCAATCCAACAAGTACTTGCACACATTGGAACTGAGTCGTATTAACGGTGACGCACATGCATTGACGTACGCTACAAACAAGTATGCAACAAATTTCACGACGTAAATGAAATTCACTGTCAATACACGTCAGATCAGGTATATTACGCTATTGGGCGATACAAAAAAACATGTTTTCTCAGACAAAAAGAACGACGAAATATTCGATATCAGAACAATGATCAATGGATGGAAATTCAACCCGAAACACACAAATATTACAGAAACAAACTGTTTTGGATTTCATCAATGAACAGAGAATCATCCTCGGACTAGAAGACACAAATGTCATAGTTACTTGGTCACGTGAACGGTTGAGAATGAACTCAACAGTCAACAGTCACAAAGGAAAAAACGACAAACGAAAGGGCTTTGCGATGGATCGATAACCACATTATATGCTTTCGTTTCTTGAACACAGTGATGGTGAACACAAAAGAGTTCGTCACAATTGACATCAACGTCCTGTACGGTATGATGATAATTCAAGATTCATGGACGTATTCAAAGAGATGCAACAAGATCAGTTTCTTAATGTGTTCAGAATCGAAAGATACAACAAGCCAGGGAAGCAAGTTTCTTCGTTTCAAACCGATGGGGTAGCGTTATGTATCCACCTCAATATAGAAATAAGTGACGGATCTTGGTGTGATCCCGAAAGGCCAGTGAAACAACAGAGGACAATCTCGAACAATCGAGCAAGTAGAGACTCAGACAGCGATCGCGTTATGTCGATTGATCCAGAGCGAACTGCTTTGATATGCGGGATTGTCGAAGAAACTTTCAAACCAGGACGCACTTTTCTGTCAAGACATGTCGCGTCGACTCGTTTGAACCGTCCGGTCAATGTACTAATAAGTAACTGCTGCACTGCTCCTGATTGTCTTCGTACTGATTTTTAACTCAACTTTGAGTAAAGTGCTGTGGTTTACTCATCTTCTCAGTACGGCGCCCCGGGGTCCGACCGGCCGGGCAGAGCCGGCAGTCATCACCAGCCGCTGTAGGTCTTTACTCAAAGTTAAGTTAAAAAGTCAGTACGAGGAATTCAGTAGCAGCGCTCAACCCGCCCGGTTGCGAGCAGAAGGGCATAGGGCCCGACTCGTTGGTGTCCTCTAGCAGAGAGAGTTCAAGGCAAGGAAGAGAGCACCTGAGAGCAGGTGTTGAGCGAGGGATCCAGAGACCAGCATAACACTGACAAGCCAGCAAGGAACAAGGCCCAAAAGAAACATTGGCAGATACCTCAAGGCAGAAATTGTTTTGCACTCAAAAGATCAGGGATTGCATATTTTACCTCGTTACCACGCAGAATCATTGTTTCAGAGGTTACCTTGCACTTGTCAAATGAGTTTTTCCCGATCATGCATGCAAGGCCAGCCGTGAAATTAGCGATCGTGGTTTGCTTTTCGCTCCGGTACGATTCAGGTCTGCAATCAAAAACGTTAATCTCCGACACAATTCAGTTCCATTAAGAACCAAATCATTCAAAATGAATGTCGAAAAGATCACCGAAGAGCTGCAAGACCATCGTGAATACATTTTGAAAACTCTAGTTGCGGTAGAGCACACCGAGGCAGAGCTTCAAAATTCACTGTCTCATGTAAATTCTCTAGCAGGTGATTTATATTCAAAAATTTCAATCTTGGAACAGGAGAGCAAAGAAAAAGATCTTGTGATTCATAGCTTACAAAACTCCCTCTACTCCTTGGAAACAAAATTTGAATTTTTCCAGCAGAAATTATCTCACAGATCGCAAAATGTCGACGATTTTACGGCTGAATCAAAACATCAAGGTACACTGCTTCTGTAGTTTTCAAATTGCTAATGAAATATGTAGAACAAAGCTTGAAATGCGAGGTGAAAGCTGAGATCGAAGCTTTGTTCAAGGTGAGCTTACCTTGAGACGTCTCATAATGAATTTCTCTTATCAGGGAGAGATGATGATTTCACAAAGACTGCAAAAGATCGAAAAACAGCTGAATCAGACCGCTTCACCTGAAAAAGGAATCGATCAGCAATTAGATGCTTCTGGGTTAATTGAGAATTTGAAATCGAAGATTTTGTCATTGGAATCAATGATCTCTGAAGTTGAATGGATCTTCAAGATGCCTGATGTCGGTCTGCAGTCCGTCGGTACCATGATCTCTTTCTGCAAAGATAAGCTCGAGGAACACGATAAAGAGCTCCTGTTAATGCGTGCCTCTCGGACTGCTGAGCTCTCGTACGAGGACAAGATATCAGATCAACTTGCCGAATTAAGCCAAAAACTTCTTGATCATGGAGATTTGATGCAAAAACAAGATCTGAGGCTCTCCGGCAACGTGGAACATACGAAGAAGCTTGAGTTCGAATTGTCGCAGCTGATGCAGCTCTTTGGCAGGGTTGACAATTGTGAGTCCATGTTGGCAAAGCATCAAACCACAATCCCTTCAATGGGAAGTCAGTTAGAAAGTTTCATTCAGGCATTGCAGGATATGCAAAGTAAGATGGAAATGATTCATGTGAAAGAACCTTTCTCAGCACCGTCCACTAAGGGTATGAATCTAGGTTTGTTCGATGCTGAATCTGAAGGAGAAAGTGAGCTTTCACTGGATGATAGATTGTCTAGCATCGAGAATGCTTTGATATTGTTACTTGAAGCGCCAGAAGTCTCTGAGACAGATATCGTTTTGCCTGAAGGAAAACAATTCTCCTTACAATCCTCACCCATTGATGAGAATAAGACGATGCTTCAGAAAAGCACAAAAACATTGAAAGGACCGGTGAAGACTCTGTTTGACCATATAGCACGTATTGAAGAAGTCTCTCGCATTCTTTGTCACCATGGTACGGCAATCAGAACCATTCAAAGCAATCAGGCTAGTTGGAAAGAGATGACGATGAAAGTCACCGACTGCATCTCTTTGGTGTCTAGTCTGGTTTCAGACATAAAGATTCTGAGACATGGAGATGGGTCTGAGAATCAGATTCGACTCGAAGGACCTCTGCTGGTCCCTTCATACCAGGATGCCAACATTGATATCGCGGCGTTGAATTTCAAGTTGAATCAAATCCAAGAGATCCTTGACATTTCTTCCGATGAAGAGAAAATTGCTACTAGTCTTCGATTGAATACCTTGAATGAGGCAGTCGGACATCAACAGAAGGTAGTCGACAAACTGAATGAGGACTTGAAACGATGGAGTTGCTCGCTGGAGAAGACATTAGAAGTTGCAAATGAGGCATTCGGAGATAAAACACCGTTTGCAATTCGGAGTTACGTGGACTGCATAGAGGAAGACGTCAAAGACTGCCATCTCTCCATCACAAGAGTAAAAGAGGAACTCTTACAATCGCAAAACAATTTCGAGTTACAACTTTATGCGCTTGAACAAGAAGTGTCTCAAAAACAAGACGCTTTTGTTGATGATTTTGAAACATTGAAGTCTGCTCAAGATGATCTCAGTAATCGATTTGCAGAATTGAGATTGTGGGCTGAAAGGTCGTTTTCTGAAATAGCCTTGAAGCTTGCACGCGTAGAAGAGGCGGCCGATGGTTCACGTCATCCTGTCGCGGAGTTTGTTGACAGCTCTAAATCAGAAGATGTCAACAACAGTCTAATTTTAGTTGAGAATCCGGCAACAAAGCCAGAGTTTCCTCTTCGTGTGGATGATGCTATATTGCAAAGCATTTGTAATCGCATCGCATCCTTAGAAAACACATGTTTTGAAAATCAGATGAATCAACAAGCTGACGATGACGTGTCAGCTAATTCGATGGAGTCCGGCGATGAATCACCAACCTCTCGTTCTGAGTCAATCAGCTACAATGCCCGCACGTTTTCAAGCCGAATGAGTCAAAGTTCTATCCTAAGAAAGCTGCGCGAAGACGTTCGGGAATTGAAGAGAAGTCAACAATCGTTGAGTGAGCAAATGCGAGAAGATCTCGATCGCACGTATGTCACCCCTGAGGATCTCCTTGCCGTGGAGCACTCGTTGCATGATGCCCTCAAAGCCTATGATGATGCTCTTGCAGATATTCGTGCTGCGTTCAATGACAGGGAGGACAAGAAGGCACCACCATCAGCTCTTGCAATCTTGCAGGAGATACCTCGTGTGATTGATGTCATTGAAGAGCTCATCACAGACATGCGAATCAGTTTAACATCAAAAGCTCTGCAATCTCAATCGGAGAGCAATCAGGCGATTGAAGAACGATTTGCGGACAAATTTCAACTGATGCAACAGAGAATGGACATGTTAAATGCGGATACAGAAGAGATGGGTGTAGAACGCGAGAACTTGCGAAGCCTGGAGAATTTGATTATTGAGTTAGAAGGAGCAATGGAAGCGCGAGAAACTGAAAATGCGTTCCTGGATGAGCGAGTGGAGAAAGTCGAGCGAATGAACGCGGACCTATGTACACGGGTTGTAACCTTGGAAGAAAAAGCAATGAGAGTCGAAGACTTTGAGCTCTTCAAATCTGAGATCTCTCGCGATACTCCTTGGTTCAGCTCTTTAGATTCTCCCTTGATTGACAGAAACAAGAATAGATCACCAGAGCAAGAAACCGAAACCGGAGCCAGTCACAGCGCAAGCCGCATCAAAGCGCTAGCAGCAAGAGTCAGGGGCGTGACTATGTCGCTTTCCGAGCGTGGGCAGGATTCCTCCCAAGATCGTGCCCAAGCCGATGATCGGCGGTTGCTGGCGGAAACAGCTGCGGAGATTCAGCAGTGGGAAATTCGAACGTTGAAAGAGCAGGAAACCTCAGAAACCATGGAAGCTGTAACGACAAGGCAGAATGAAGCAAGAGATTCGGATCAACTAGAGTTTGTATAGGGCATTGCATGCACGCTTTTTATAGCTAAGATGTTTTACAATCGTTTCATCTAATTTGTTCAGCTACAATCTTTTGAACATATGTACACATCAGTTTGAACACAATTGGCGTCTAAGGACGCCAAAGAATCAGATCTTGTGTGTTGCGTGCACTCCGTGCCAGTACTTCATCCTGTAGTGATACCATGAGATTGCGGACAGCCAATTTCAAAAGCGAACCTGCGACTGTCTGAGCTGAGAGAGGACGGGTAGGGCACCGTCGAAGGACGAGCGATATTTGTCCTGCGGAGAGCAGTGAGGAGCTCATTACAGACAAGAGGCGGCGAACTTCGTTGGGCGTCGATAGCAGTTCTCTCTTGTATTCGGCCAGAACTCCGAGGCACCGCACAGACAGCAAGACAACCTGGGAAGAGGTTAGTGCAGCCTCCACCTCACGTTGGCTCTTACTGAGAAGTTCTCGTCTGAAAGAAGACCCACAAGTTTCTCCACAGCTCCCAACTCGAACGCAAGCTTCTTTCCCTGTTGCTGCATCAGTCCCTCGCGCTCTTGTGCGCGCCCGAGGTCACCTCGACTGAGACGGCAATGGACGCGACGGCCGCAATGGCAGAAGCTCGAACCAACCAGCTGTCGTGGAGGGTGAGGTCCACAATGCGAGGCATACATCCCTGACAGCGAGACGTGTAAGAGATTTCAAAAGAGGAAGGAGATTTCAAAAGAGAAAGGAGATTTCACAAGAGAAAGGAAACAAGAAGCAGAACCTCGGCAATCGCCTCAAGCTTGGCAGACTGACTGAGCGTAAGGTAAGTGATGTTCTTGAGGGCATGCTGCAGAATCGATGGGTCCTCGCTCGAGATACATGTCACCATTGACCCGATCGCCTTGCACTCCAACGCATCTGAAAGTCCTTGCATGCACTGCAAACAGCACTTGAGCGATTGGACAGCGTCTGCTGTCGGACTATGCTTGCACACAGCAACAAGCATCGCTGTGCCCCCGGCATCCACGATAGCTTGAGAGCCTTCGGGCAGATCTCCTATAAGTTGGAGGCATTTGTGGGCGTATCTCCTTGCTGGTAGTGACGCCACGTCCTGCATGACTACAAGAAGCTGCTTGATGGTGCCGACTTGCAGCATCTTGCCAACCCCCTCCGACACACTCGCAAGCAGTGAAAGAACCTGCGCAGTCTTCTCGCGGGTGACCGGGTCCTTGTCTGATAGTAGTTGAGTTAAGATTTGAATGCAGTCCACCTCAGACTGTGAAACTTTATTCTTGGGATGGGCCATTAGCCAACGAGACATGCTGCCTAGCGTTTCTCGTCTCGTCTCGACGTCCTCCTCGAAGAGTTTCTCTGTGAACTTGTGCGGAGCTCTGGCCAGAAACGCCACAGAAACTTTTCCTGACGATGTCTCTTGGAGGAAAGGTCGGACTTTGTGCGATTCAATTCTTCTGCAGTTGGCGGTAAATCCCTGCGGGTTTCCATAGATTTGATTTGGACGCTTGTCAACACCCCGTTCTTCTTCGCCCCACTGATAACCCATCCTCCTGCTCCACGAGAAACAGATCAAAAAATACAAAACAACAATCCCCGATAAAAAAGACTCCCACGACTCGTTCTTTGCACGTCTGCCTCTGCCTGCCTGCCTGCCTGCCTGCCTGCCTGCCTGCCTGCTTGAAAGCCTTCCTGTGTGGCATCATTGTCTTCTGGATTTACCCCTCAGCCTATGTTGCTTCTCTCCTGCTCAAGTTCAGATCTTCTCCTCCTCTTGTCATGCCATGCTTCTACAGTTGTCAATCTGCCCCCCTGCCATCGTTCCCCGTGCATTGCCCTCCAACGGCTCCCCCCGCATCGTAAAAGTAACCACCCCTTGGCTCATATCAAAACCATACCACCCCACCCCAACCGAGAACCGTTCTTTACACTATCCCTAGTTTTGTATAGCTACCCGAGATGATGGGGCTCAAGGAACGATGCAGCGAATGACCGAGCAGATTCAAGGGAGAGATGACGGCGTAGAGGAGGAGGAGGGAGAGGGAACGGCAGAGGAAGGCACGGGGAGTTCAAGCAACGAGGAGGAGAGGAACTGAGAAAGGCTGGGAGGCGAGGAGCAAGGAATGGTTTAGGAATTTGAAGAGCGAGAGGTGGGAGGAGAAGGTGAAGCAAAGGGTTGATGGAATACTCGGGTAAAGATAGACGAAACAGGAAGCGAGGCATAAAGATAGAAGAGTTGGAAAAGATGCGCACGAGGTTGGAGTAGAAAATTATCTGTGTGCAAATCGACTTGAGGAGTGTAACGCGTGGATCATGCTCTCATCTATTCACATGTACGTTTCAGATGTCCGGGAAGCCTATCAAAGATGTCTCGTCATTGAGCAACAGCTACCAGGTCCTTGAATTACATGAAATCCCATCGAGTACACTAACATGACGACAGATAAAAAGTCATCACCTCCACTTGAAGCTCGGTTAGGTGTGCATGCGCCTCTATCGGGATCTGATGCCTTGCAGATGTAGACTTTTCAAAGTGCATCTTGACTGGCTTGGTTGAGCTTGACCTTGAGGCATATCACAACGTTCTAGTTGTATCGTTTGTTGATATCCTCTGCAGATGCTGGAGGACGGGGTAGACCAGGTTTGTCTCGATACTCGAGATCTGAACATCTCGAAGACCAAGATTGACGGTAGGTCTCTCTGGACACGTTGGCCATGCTGACAGTGAGTTTCAGGCAAAGATCAAAAGTTTCTCCTGGATGCTCCAAACGAAGCCTTTGGTTCGTGCTTGAAGGTAAAGATATGACGCACTTACACGTAGTGACGTCACCACCTTGGTTAGATTCGAGTTCCTCAAGAGCTGCAGCAGAACGGGAAACGATTCAAGGTAATGTATTCTTTTGCCCTTGCCGATCATGACATGTCGCGTGTAGGCTGAGGTTCATTACTCGACAAGCCAGTCCAGCACTGCATGTCAGGCAAGTAACAGTCATGTTTCCTCGGCCTTACGTTGTGATCACCATCATCCATGACATGGAGGTTTGCAGTGGCTACCAGCTGCTCAGACTGCAGGTCAGCAACCGAAATTGTGAGCCCTTAGAGACTGACGTGACCGTGGGGCAGGCAAGAAGAAGCCATATCTCTTCACCCAGTGTCAGGCGATCCACGCTCGATCTCTCCTTCCATGCCAGGTAGACCGAAACGTCCTAAAGCCCTTGTGACGTCATCCTCAGGATTGTCCTTCTGCTAAATGTACCTGGTCGGGTGCGCAGCCGCAAGTTTTGCTCATGTCGTTTTTCTCACCTGTCATTCGTTTCTCAGCTGTGATGTCTGCTCCTTCTTGGGCGACAGTCTTGATGTCAGCGATCTTGGTTGACCGTTCTGCATTCTGCTCATCCTCTGACCATCAAGCAGGAAAATAAGTCGGAGCAGGCACAAAAGTGCGAGAAGAGTGCTGAAGCTAATCGGCTCATGAATTCGCGCAGACGAGTCTTCACATGGCGACAGTCAGTTCCGACATGTTCGTATCTCATAGCCATTGCGGTATCTCTAACGATCTCTGCGCCCCTGGCATCACGCTCTGTGCTTTCAGGTTGGAGATCTTGAGTCGCGAGAGATCAGCAGCCGCTGCCGGGTGTGGTCGGAGCCTTCCATGGTGGACAAGGTTCTCCCTCCTGCCCAGACTCTTCTGCTCCTGCTGCTAAAACATGACTCAATTTCAGGTTGCGAACGAATTTGCCGAGACGGAGAAATTTCTGACGACTGCGGTCCTGGACTGCTGGTTTTGCTTGTGCGTCTCATGCCGCTGCAGGAGTCGATCACGTGCGAGTACCAGTGGGGAAGATACGACCTGCTCTGCCTTCCTCCTTCTTTCCCGTAGACCTGCCGCCCTCCTGCTCCACTCGAGTCTTTCACACCCTCAGCAGATACGGAGGGATGGAGAATCCGTGCCTGACGTTTGTCACCCCAACGTTGCTAGCCGGGGACCGCAGGTAAGTCCCCGTCAACCCCTCAATCAGGTCCGGTCGCCTGCTGACACCCTCTAGTCTCGCAGATGTTGTCGCGCATGAGATCGCGCACAGGCACTTGCGGTTGCCTCCTCCTGTCTTCTCACTTGCTCTCCAGCTGGACGGGGAACCTGGTGACCAACGCGACTTGGGAGCACTTCTGGCTCAACGAAGGGTGCGAACTACCTGGAAGTTTCCAGCTGACCCCGGGCAGGTGGACTGTCTGGCTGGAAAGAAGAATCATGATGAGGGTGCGAGGGTCCAAGGCAGGACCTAAAGGTCAAGCTCGAGAGCTGAAGTACAAGAATGTGCTGAGAGAAGGGCAGGAGATCCCAAGTACTTTGACTTCCTCGCTGATCTTGGTAAGGTGATGATGAAAGGATTGCTCTTGTCTAACCAGGTTCAGGATGGAAGCACCTGGCTGGAGACGTCGAGCACTTCCAAGGTCCTCCAGTCTTACATGACTAGGGAGGTGACGACAGAAACAGAGATCGGTCAGTCCAGATTCACCAAGCTCGTGCCGGACCTGCAGGTTGCGACAAGCTGGAGCAGCGAATGATTTGATGACGTACGTAGGGGATCGACCCTGATGACGCCTTCTCCTCCGTACCCTACGAGAAGGTCCTGCTTGCTGCCCTTTGTCGACCTCACGGGATGCTTCAGGGGTTTAACCTGCTCTACTCGGTGCAGCAGAAGGTCGGCGACGAGGAGTTCGAGAAGTGAGAAGGAGAGGAGCGCGGAAGAGGATGACGAGTGTCACAGATTCGTCAAGGATTACATCAACACCTGGAAGTCCAAACTCATCACTTCGTTGCAGGTAGAGGGGCATGCGAGGACAAATGGGACAAGTTGAGAGGGAAACAGGGGGAGGGAAGGATATGGCAGGCAGCTACAGTGATGATCTGTTTGGCAGTTCAAAGACTTTGTCATGAATTATTCTGCTCATTTCAAGAAGAAGCTTCAAGACTTTGACTGGTCAGTCTAGCATGAGCGTCCAAAAATTCACTCTCGGCTCGGCTAGGGATCGTTGGTTCTACGCCGAGGGCATGCCAGCTGACAAGCCCAAGTTTGACACGACCCTGTCAAAGGTAACGGCCGGGATGGCCGAACTCTGCGATGCTGACCTACACTCCAGCTCGCGAATGACTTCGCGCACCGGTGGACGACAGCTGGGGCAGGAGCGGATCTGATACGCCTGAAGTCTGTCGGGTGACGTTGAGCTGCAGGCGAGATAAAGCCGACCTCAGAGGTGGGCAAAGAGATGCGAGCCGCCTGGAACTCGTGGACCTCTCAACAGCGGTGAGAAACAGAAGAAGCAGGAGGAGGAAAGCAGGAGGAGGAAAGCAGGAGATGGAAAGCAGGAGGAGGAAAGTTGAAGCAAGCGAGGAGATGAAAGTATTGTTGACTGTGCAGGTGTGAGCTTGGAGGCTAGTGGTTGTAAGAGGGTGATGTATAAGAATAGAAATCAGTTCTTTCTTGCAAGAAAGCAAGACTATGTAACACTGTTTGATATGTGACACTGTTTCACAGTCAGTACATGCTGGATCAGATCCTGGAGAACTCAGAGAAGCAAAAGATGCCAATTGCAGTGCTGCAGGTGAAGCAAGAGCGAAGAGCAACGGGGAGAGGAGGAGAGGGACTGACGTGAAGGCAGGACATGGACGCTGTCTACGAGATCTCTATCACTAACAACGCTGAGGTTCGCTTCCGTTGGTGCACGCTCTGTCTTCGTTCCGGCGCGGACTTCATCGTCCAGAATGCCGTGAGCATGGTGACCTCGCAGGTGGAGGAGATTTGAGCTGATGTGAAAGACGTCTGACGTCGCACGGGCAGGGGAGGATGAAGTTCACCCGCCCTCTCTACCGCGAGCTCCAGAGGAGGTGAAGGTTGGCGAGGAGGGAGGAGGGGAATGACAAGGATGCTAGCGAGGCTCGAGGAGCGCGAGACGCAGCCGTCCGCACCTTCTTGTCGACAAGCTTGTGAGATACTCGTGAGCTCATGTCTCCTCGCAGGAAGAACGTGAATTTCTATCATCCCATATGCCGCAAGATGGTGGCGCAGGACCTCAAGGTCGAATCTTGTCTCCTCTTGTTGATTCTCTCCTTGTTCTCTCCATTGAAACATGATGCAGGTCAAGCAGAACAACAAGCAGGGCTGGTCCTGGCTGGGTGTCTCAGCCGTTACGATCTCTGCCTATCTTGTAAGTCCGCCTCCCGCCTCCCCTCGGATCGCCCAAACTTCTTGGCATTCCCTCTCGCTCTCCTGCTCCCCGTTCTCCTCATCCCTCGCCTTCCCCCCACTACTTCTCCTCCACCTCCTCCTCCTCGTCACTCTGCTTCAGGTCTGGGCTGTCTGGAGGATTCGCTCTCGCAAGTGCCCCATCCCCTTCGTCCACTGAAGCATAGGATCGAGAGCGCGTAAGGACTGCATAAAGCAACTTCCTGAGCACACCTGGGCGGAGGGGCTCTTATGTGTTGGTGGTGGGGGAGGAGCAGGAGGAGCAAGGAGAGGACGAGGATGAGGACGAGGACAAAGGGGAGGAGGAGGAATGGAAGGGGGCCGAGGGGGTGGGGGAGGAGGCAAAGGAGGGGGGGGGGGGAGGTTGGGAGGGGGGGTTGTGGTGGTTGTGGAAGAGTCCTGATGTACATGTAGAAGAGTCTTGATGCATGTAGAAGAGTTTTGATGCTATGCCGTGCCGGAGCTCGGGTGACTTCGCTGCCACTTTGAACAGAACGAGTGACAACGACTGAGCTGCTGAGTTGCAAACTCGCTCAAGATTGGAAGGACAAGCGGAGGGAGATACAATGTACAAGAATAATCAAACAAGAAACAAGATCGAGGGCTGTCACATTCTTCGACCCGCCAGTTCTATGAAGGCGCCATGATGCGACTCTGCAGTGAGCAAAGTCAGCAAGAGTCAGTTGCTCAACCATCCAGCACCTGCCCAGCTCACTCGCATCGGAGGTTTCGGAACTGCACGTATCGTTTGTGCCCTTCCAGGGTCTTGAGCTTGTGAAAGTCAACGAGTATGAGCTGTAGCTCACAGATGTGCCCCTCCACCCCCTTCTTCCTCGTCTCGTCGCTCACCACCCGTAGGTTGATCGCGACGTCTCTGTAGCCACCCGATATCTTGCTGTCGAAGTCTGGATCCAGCCTGTTCTTTATCTGCAGCACCTGGATCTCCGGGTCTCTGGCGATCTTGTCCAGGCAGTCGCAGAGTTGGTCGAGGTCCTTGAAGACGATGCTCTGCCGCACCACGTCTGTGAGACGAGGTACTTTAGTGTCACAGAGCAACAAGACTTTCTCGATCGATCTGGTGGCGTTCTTGATCTTTGCCCAGCAGACTGAGCTCTCGAGCGTCGGGTCTGCGATCACATCTCGCCAGCGCACGTACTGGGGCTCGTCGTTGTCAGACTGTGCCAAGAAGAAGCCGTCGGAGGCCTCGGCCAGGGCCTTGACCTTGGAGAGGAAGACGGGGTCGATGACGAGCGCCTGGGCGTACAGCTGATCAAGGTTTTCCCTTCGAAGATTCTCTTCATCAATCTCCTTGTTCGTCTCAGACTCGCCAGGGATATGATTGTCAGCGGAGTTGGGCAGGATGAATGTTGGACCATAGGGACCCCATCCCCGCACATTGCGTAGAGAATTCATCAAGCGAAATATCGATTGGCTGCCTTTCACCTCTTCCCATTCCTTCTCAAACACCGATGAGCTGTGTAAGGCTTCACTCAAGGTTCTCGACCTCGTAAGCTCGCGGCAAGCCAGGAAGAAAACGGTTGCTGCAAACACGAAGATGCTCTCATATCTGACTCGTCCTGCTCCCAAGGCAGAAGCAAAGATCATAATATGTGCTAGAAAGACTTGCTCGACCACATAAAGTTCGCTGAAGATCAAAGGAGCTGGAAAGAAGAAAAGATCCTGACAAATCAAGTTGTCACAAGATTGACCTTTTCAGAACAGACAGCTCACCGAGATTGCATAGATCAAGAACTCGTGACGTGATGCCTCCAAAGCAGTTTCGTTGTAGCCCTCAGCTAGCATACCGAAGAAGATGATAGAGTTGAAAAGTCCATCAAGAAAGCCCGCGAAAATCAAGACCTTCACATGCGAGTTACTTGAAGGTATCAGTTGAAACAGTGCCCTACCTGCTTGGTTCGATATGTACCTGGTTGCTAACTGCAGCGACAACTCCCATGTGCAAGGAAGATGGTTTTTCCCAAGAAAATCTTGATGCAGAAACTCTCTTGAACCTGCCTTGTTCGGGAAAAGGGAAAAGTAGCCAGTAGATTGAATCCTGTGGAGAGACACTGATTCAAGAATGATCCATAGTGATCCAACCACCACGAAAATGAATTGTACGGGACGTAAAGTAAGGAGCGCAGACAGAGGCTCGTGGGAGAACAAGATCAGCCATGGGTTGATCTTGTATACTTTTCTCTCCACAGTGCTTCTCTGAAGGAAGTCCCCGCTAACATGCATGTAGGCATGCGAGAATCCGGGTTTGAAATCTGTTCTCCTCGGAGTCTGAATCAAGACAGGTTCGGACTGCTGACCTTCAACCTCAATTTCAATGCTAGCCATGAACGTTCTCACCGCCCCTTCGCCGCCGGCCTCCCCTCAGCAGCCTTCTTGTCTCCTGGCCATCAAATGAAACTCTACGATACTCTCATCACTGCGTACTGCCGGCGTGCAGCACTACCTAGGCTACTTCCTAGGACCCAGATCATCGGCCCCCCCCTAGGTACCCTATCGGCATCTGGTTTTACCCAAGAATGTTTTCTTTGTCAATAATGAAAATTTGCTATAAAAGTATTGTATGAAATAAATAGAAAGTACCCGTCTGTAGTCCTGCTAAAAGTACCCCACTAGCTCAGCAGCATTCCCCCGGTACGTTGTTGATCACGGATCACTGACTTTAAAACAATGTTAATGTCTCTAAAACGTTTTGAAGACATTTACATATTTATTGCCCAAACTCGTGAAGCATCAGATAGTCGAGCCCCACCCCCCCAACTGAGCATATCAGCAAGGGGAAACCACCCCTTCAACAAGCACCGGCGCAATTTTCGGAGACTTGTGACGCACATCAAGCCGCGATAAGTGTACAACTCTTGATTCCTCATCCCCCTCATACTCAAGTTTTGACCGTTAATTGCTGGTTGACTGGCCGTTGGGCCGCGACGTTGAGGCTCTTCCGGTTCGTCTTTGTGGAGCAGAACTAGTGGCCGTCCTATGTCAAGCTGAAAACTACTTGACCCAGTGAAACTCTCCCGCCCTGCTCAAGAAAAATGGGCGAGCACCATTAGTGAAGGATGATGGCTGCATCACTGAAGCATATATGCCCTACACTGACTGAAGATGTTGGATCGTTGTGTTTTAGCCAGGAGTCGGGCGATGTATGAAAATGAACGATGAAAGTACACTCCAATTTCATGCTGGCAACCTGTGTCTTCAAAACTGAAGAATGGTTCAGACATTTGTTCAGACAGCCTCGGTTTGGTTTACTGTGGCCTTGACTGAAGTTACAGCAAACCAATACAAACACATGTTGAAAACAATGACAAGACAGCTGTTTTGAATGATGAGAAGATGGAAAAAGTGAATCATCTCTGAAACTTGTCTGAGAAAATATGGTCTCAAGGGATAGGTGAGGATGTGCTGTGAAAACAATTCATTGGAAGTCATCATACGCATTCCTTTTGAAAACAGCCCATCAAGAAACCAAATCGGAATCTCGTGCCTCCTGTGTGCATTTTCCACATTGCAGAGACATGCGATGAAAAGCAGCATGGGGTCGAATTCTCCTGAGACACCAATTCCTCGGAATTTATCATGCATCATCATCTCATGTTTCAGCCAGCTGATTTATTGAATACTGCTGCTGCCGCCGCCGCCGCAACTGTTGCCGACTGCTTCAGCTGATACTTTTCTCGTGTAGCGAAGTGGTGCGACAGGTGGTTTAGAAGATTGCAATCCATGACAATGCAGAGTTTAACAGAATTTTTTTTTGACAGCTCTCAATACCAATGCGTACTTTAAGTGAGCCTTTATGATTTGACCGATACTTTCAACAAACTTAACATGCTATGTACAATCTAAAGAATAACTATTTACAGCCGTCGCTCTCATCGGCCTACCGCACAAAGATGCTTTCATGTCGCACGCAGCTGATCTCCGAAAGCTTGCAAGCTTTCGACGCAGCCTGAGAAATGCTCTGCAGCACCAGCTCTCCCTTGCCGTCGTCCTTCCGATGGCTCAATGACGTCCCGGGACGTTGACTCGCGAGATTGTCGACGTATGCTTGCTGTGCCGCATTGAGGCGGAAGGCCTTTCTGGCGATACCGCGAGACGGGAGGGACAGGCGCTCGTTGAGGAGGACAAAGGAAGCGGAAGTCATGGCGAGTTGAAAGGAGGAGAAGAGATGATCACGACGGGAGTATGCGTAGGAGATGAGTAGGAGGTGCAGTATTTACTACAGGGAAGAATGGTGTAGTAAACGTACCATGCGGCTCCTTGCAATCTCAGTGACAGCACTCTTTACTACAGTACAGAAACTGACCGGATCCCTGATCAGCACGGACCTTCTTTACAATTTGAACGGCTGAGCAACAGATCCTTTAAACGGACGCACAGTAATTGGTGGGGGTGGAAAGACTGATTTGCAGGGGTAGTAGCGATTCCCAAATAAATTGACATCCTGATTCTGATAGCTTGTCACTTCGTTTGAATTGGCGCAATATTCGGCTTTTTTTAGCATCTTCTCCCTTCGATCATGGGCTAGCTCCCCGTTGCTGACATTGCTGACATGGAAGATATGTAGTAAAGAGCTGTAGGTGTGCTGTATGGGTGCGAGATGCTGTCACTGAGATTGCAAGGAGCCGCATGGTACGTTTACTACACCATTCTTCCCTGTAGTAAATACTGCACCTCCTACTCATCTCCTACGCATACTCCCGTCGTGATCATCTCTTCTCCTCCTTTCAACTCGCCATGACTTCCGCTTCCTTTGTCCTCCTCAACGAGCGCCTGTCCCTACCGTCTCGCGGTATCGCCAGAAAGGCCTTCCGCCTCAATGCGGCACAGCAAGCATACGTCGACAATCTCGCGAGTCAACGTCCCGGGACGTCATTGAGCCATCGGAAGGACGACGGCAAGGGAGAGCTGGTGCTGCAGAGCATTTCTCAGGCTGCGTCGAAAGCTTGCAAGCTTTCGGAGATCAGCTGCGTGCGACATGAAAGCATCTTTGTGCGGTAGGCCGATGAGAGCGACGGCTGTAAATAGTTATTCTTTAGATTGTACATAGCATGTTAAGTTTGTTGAAAGTATCGGTCAAATCATAAAGGCTCACTTATAAATCGCAGACGGAACTCGATTGTCGAATTCGTTATGTTTTGAAGCTTATTTAGATGTCACAATCAACGACAATTTGATACGAATTTGTCCCGAGACTGTTGACAGGAACACTGGAGGAGTTGCAATTTATTAGGTTTGTTTGTTTGATCATGTTTGGACGGGGCTGTTGAGTTAAGGATACCCAGAGATGATATGCTTGGAGAAGGTCTGTCGCTAGTCGCTCAAAGCTGACGTGTACATACCATCAGAGTGATCGCAACAATTATAGCTAAAAGGCTCGAGAAGGTTTCGGATTCCGTACTTCGTGTACTTCATTTCGGTACACCACATTTAGACGGCTATATCGTGCTGTTATCCTTTCAAGCATGTATATGATAGATTCAGTTCCAGTACGAATGCTTGTTCGCTCGGCTATCATGCCAAGCTGTTTTGAGGAGTCCCCGGTGACGCTTTTTCAAGCCTCAGCCCGCCCTTTTCCTTTCTGACAGTACACACGGTTGACAAGTTTGTTTTGTAACAACTGTGTCTGATGACAGGGAGATCACATCGGATTCGAGGAGGCTGAGGCATTCTTACCGGGATTTTCAAGGTGTTCTTGCTTGATTGATGCATCCCAGGCGCACTGGCAGGCTGGCCATAAGCCGAACTTCGAAGTCTGAGGACTCCAGAGAAATAAAGAGGCCCCAGTGAGTCCGACGCCGCCGCTTCTCAAGTTCCGAGCCCAGGCCGCCCGGCGGCGGCCGGGAGTCCGAGTCCGACCCGACTCGCGGCGAGTCGAGTGCGGCGCCCGGGACTCCGGGAGCCTCCGAGTCTGGAAGTCTGGCACCCTGGGCCCGCCCGGTTCGGCCGCGCCGGGCCCGCCATAAGTTCTGATACGTTCAGTGGGGTGCTAATATAAAACTCTTGATCCAACTTGTAATAATAACTCTCGTATGAATCACATTTTAAAATATTGTAATTTTGAGAGGCCGTAATGGAAATGGAGTACTGGGCCAGGAAACTCTGGACATCTCAAATCATTTTTAGATAACAATTATGATAATTTCAAATTACCCTGAAATTTTTGAATCCAACTTCCTTATTTTGCCACAACGTTTCACACGAATGGTCGTAAATGCTCCTAAACAATTGCACCCTACCCATATCACAAATGAGTTTAAAACTACTTTTATACCCCTGAAGATGAGGAAACCACCCCACCCGTCCACCATCTCACTACACACAGGGTGCTCTCTGCGTCTCATACTTGCGCTACCCACCCCACTTTACTTGCTACTGGCAGCACCCAGTCACACAGTATACCCCCTCTGAGGGTCAGAACCCCACCAACCCTATCACTAATCACCCCTCACTAGATTCTGATCCGGAAATATCAAAAAATTTCTGTGACGAAGATCGAATGTGGGGTGGTCTTTCTGAATTTTTTGATGGAATGAGACCCAACTCAGTGAAATGTTTCTCCTAACATTTGATCTGTCCACGAACATTCATCCAGATTTCAACATAATCATTGAACTGTTCCTGTGGTTAAAGAGAATACAAGGGGTTGCTTTCCGACCAGCAATTTTATAGGTCCGCCTCAAAACCAGAAACTACCCCTGTACCCCAAGTCACCTGAGACCTACCCCAGGAATTCATGACTTGAATGATACCCCCTACCCTACAGCATAAAGTTTACTACCTACCCTGGCTATCCCTTGCTTTACCACCGCAGCTACCCCTTCTCTGACTACTCAACCGAAGCCCGACTACAATCTGGACCCCGGGACCCACCCCCTCGGTGCAAAATATTCCAACGAAAGGAGGGGGTTATGAACAAGCGGGGTGATAGGTAGTCACAGGTACCCCTTGGAATGATAGAGGAAGGACCCGTACACACTCCCTGCAACCCTTGCAACCCAAGGAACCCCTACCCTTTCGACCCTAATAACCTTACCTGACAAGAACGCTTTCTACCACCCCTTGTTCCTATAGACACTACCCTTGGAAATCACAGCAACCTCCACCTCTCTGATGTGCCTCCTCGAGGACTACCCTCGCTTACGACTCCTAGTAACTTGTATTTCCTATGATTGTGACTAGCACCTTCCTATGGCCCGACTGGCATACCACCACTGCCCCACCCCTACCCTACCCCCCGTTTCCCACTCCAACCAACTGCGCACCCCAGCATTGCCCTTCCCGCCATGGCTGCCAGCTCCGTTTGAGCGCGGGAGGGTTGAACATCCTCCTGTGATCAAGAGCTGTTGGATTCCGTCAGCCCTGAGGTGCGATCGAGACAGATTCCTCATCCTTAGCTGGGCATTCTTTTCCCATCGAGTGGTTGGTCTTGGTAAATAGACCAAGAGCAAGGTTGGGGCTGCTTCGCCCTGGTCAGGACCACAATCTTTCCGGTCATTCGGTTGAGTCGATCGCTTACCCAAGCGTATCGTCGTTGTATTCTTTGTATTTCTCGTTCTTTTTCCAGCTCTGCTCTCTGGTTATCGGACTAGTTCAACTCGCCTTTTTCTGTTAGTTTGGGCACATTTGCGTTCGCAGCACTACCGCCCTGCTCTTCTCAAACATTTTGTTTCATAGCCGCCGCACAAGTGGATGTCACCAGTAGACTGTCCAGTGATGTTGGCAAATCCTACACCTTGTCATGGTATGTGGTCGAACTCAGTGTTTGATATGGGGGGTTCTACCCCCCAAGGGTGCGCAAGTGAGTACCGGGCTCCAAGCACGGGCAACGGAGCCATTCATAAATCAGCACGACAATCGCTTCGTCTTGCTGTCAAGAGTGCGAGCGACATAAGAGTCAAAGGAGAGGTCCAGAGCGCCTATTGGAAGCCCCTTTTCAGTCCCAAGAAGCCAGTCAAGAAGGATGACTCAGCAGCGACGAAGCTCAAGACCCCTTCGCGAACAAACAATCGCACGCAAGATGCCGATGGCAAGGGAATGGCTGGGAAACGCAAGCGAAACTCGTCACTAGAATCAATTTTATCTCAGTCTTGCTTGAATGTCAATGAGGGAAAGAACATCAAGAAAGAAAAAGAACACGATAAATATTGTCATTTTTGTCAGGTCAAATATCTGTGTTTGAAAGCTCCATCATGATGTACTTGTGCAGCACGTCAAGGTCAATATGCTGGCGTGCGAGTCGCCAGATTGTACTCATAGGTTGGAAGTATCTGCTTGTGAAAGATAACCTGACTGTTGTGTAGATTTTGCACGTATTGTTTGGCTGTTCACTTAGGAGACAATACCGATCCTTCTTCAAGTTCTTCATGGAAGATGGGGCATTGGTCGTGTCCGACCTGCCGTCAAGAGTAAAACACATCTTTGTTAAACTGGGAAATATTCATGATGGTTTACAGGTGCTGTTGCTCCTTGTCGGAATGCAGTAAGTCCCATCGCCACTGCAAAGCGTTCCGATACAGGTGAGCACGCTTTTTGCTTGTTTCTTGGATTTATTCCCCTCCAGATGTCGAAGAGCCAATGCAGCAAACTTGAGAATGTCTGCTGCACATGCATTGGTTTCATTGGGTGTTTCAGGCAATGAAGATCCTAAGAACAAGGCCTGCAAGTCTCAGAAACTTTCTACTTCTGGGAAGACCAAGAAAACCAACATTGGCAGTGAAACAGGCTCGGCTGTTCCGTTAGGCCCCCCGGAAGGTTCGGAAACCCGCGCTCCAGGGAACAACCCACACGAACACGAAGATCAAAAGGCGATGATGCAAGCACAAGCGGATCGTGTGCTTGGGCTGCTGTGCATGATCACAGCCGAACAAGCCAATGTATGCCTCTATATTCCTCTACAAGTGGATCGTGACCTTATATACCAGGAGGAGACTGAGGAAAGCCTTCATTCTGATTGCAGCAACGAGTCCGATTCTCCATCTCAGGATTGTGACGAAGAGAAGGAGGTTGCGGAGACGACAGCCGAGAGCTGCACCAGCTCACTGGAAGAACTTGCTCTGTTTGCCTTACAGTCTCTCGCAGCTATCCCGGGGGAGGATTTGAAAGCGGCTCCTGTGGGTCCAGAAACAACAGGCAGGACAGGAGATGTCTCCCCCGGTAGACCAACAGCAGAATGCTCTCCTTGTACACCTCGAGAGGATCTCTCGTACGACAGTGCTTCCCCAGAACACCATGTCTAGAGCATAATGCTTTTGCCTTACACACGTGAATCTAAAGTGATGGTGAAAAGAGATAATAATTAGAGCCGCTGGGAATCTGAAAACATGTTTATGAATTCAGAGTATAATCTCAGGTTTCTCTATAGCCTATGGCCTACCGATCCCTCTGACGGTGATATCTGAATCTAATCTGAAAGTCAGCGATATCCTGCAGGGTCAGAGCTGGAGAAGTTTAAGTCTCACCTCATAGCTCCACACAGAGCGAGGTTGAACGTGGAGGTTCCAGTACTGTTCGGCAATGTGCGCAGGGTCCATGAGCGGGACGTTGGTGCCCCATCCCTTGGTGTTGGGCGATTCGATGACTCCGTCAATGATGACATGGCCAACATGAACTCCTTGAGCAGCGAGCTCCTGGAACAGCGACTGCCCGTAGGAACGCAGCGCTGCCTTGACCGGAGCCACCGACCCGAACTTCTTACCTCCTCTGAGAGACACCAGTCAAGGAAGGGGAGGCAGCGGAGAGAGCTAACCTCAGAGAAGCAGTAGCGCCGGAAAGGAGGATCGTTCCCTTGCCCTGAACCTGAAGATGAGCGGTGGAGGAAGAGGGGAACAAGGAGCCAGGGGGAAGACTCTACTGGCCTGCTCGATCATCTTGGGGACGACTTGACTGTTGCATCGAAGGCAGCCAGTGACTCCGATGCTGCTCAGATCATCAGAACGAGGATGAAGGAGGAGAGGGGATGAAGATTTTGGAATACTTAAAGGCAGAGTCAAAGAACTGCGGGTCGATGTCATGAGCAGCAGGGAGGTTGGGGAATTCGTGTCCAGGAGGAAACGGAGGAGCCACGTTGTAAATCATGACCTGAGAGCTGCGAGATGAGACGGGAGAAGAACAAGCACGGGAAGGGAGCACCTCCACCTTGCCGAGCGAGAAGATCTGTTTGAAGGCGGTAGAGACGCTCTCCATGTCCGTGACATCGCAGCAGATGGAGGTAGCAGTTCCTCCTGGGGTTCCGTGAGAATGGAAGACAGGAAGGGAGGGGAAAGAGAGGAGGGAGAAGGAAAGTTGTCGTACCTTGATTCCTTACCTCCTCCGCTACCGCCTGTAAACTAGGTTCAGTCTTCTCTTCTCACTCCTCCCTCCCCTCCTCCCTCCCCTCCTCCCTCCCCTCCTCCCTCCCCATTCCCCCGCTCCATTTCCTCTCTAGTCACCTCAACCACATCCTTCCGTCTAGCGAGGAGCGCAACGTGATATCCGCCTGCCAGCCTTTCACTCCTCTCGGCCTCCCTTCACATCCTCCACCTTGAGCAAACCGCAGGGACAAGGCACCTCCCAGGCCCTGAACGAGCTCGTCACTACCTTTCAGTTTTCCCTCGCCCCTCACCCATCGGGAGGAGGGAGGGATTTCCTTCATGGACCCTCCTTTGTCGTGCTTCGACCCTGCGCGTGCTGACCTCAGCAACGAGCCTGTCAACTAGCGTGATGGTGGGTGACCTGGGCCGACGATGACAGCGATTGGCTTGCTCGACATGGCTCGACTTGCAAACGAAAACTCAACTAGAACAAAACTAGAGCAACAGGGTCAAGGCAGGCAGCACAAAGTCTCCCCGGCTTCTCTCCTACATGCTGCAGCATCATCATTCACTATTGCTCCCTCCTCACTGCAACTACAAGCATCTCATCCCCTTAGCCATGGCGGGCATGACATCACACGACGATCATTGCAAACGAAAACTCAACTAGAACAAAACTAGAGCAACAGGGTCAAGGCAGGCAGCACAAAGTCTCCCCGGCTTCTCTCCTACATGCTGCAGCATCATCATTCACTATTGCTCCCTCCTCACTGCAACTACAAGCATCTCATCCCCTTAGCCATGGCGGGCATGACATCACACGACGATCATCGCAAGCACAAGAGACGCACAGGCCATGCAAGAGAAGAGGCCTGAGAGCGTCGACTGTCCTGCCGACGCGCATGGCAGACGCTGGTGAGAGGAGGGGCTCGACAAGTCAGAGAGACAAGAGGTGCGATGCTGAGATGCTAAGAGGGAGAGGAGACCGGGAGAGACGAGGAGGAGAAGAAACCGGGAGAGACGAGGAGGAGAGCAAAGAGGAAAGAGGGGAAGAGGAGAAGGGTATGCGTAAAAGCAGGGGATGCTCAGATAGTATCGCACTTTCTTTCTTTCTTTTTTTTCTATTTTTTTTCTTGTAGGGTTCGCGATCCGCCTCAGACCGTGGTGCGTCTATGGACTTCAAGAATGCAGGCAAGCAGATCGAGGGACTGGGGTCCTGCGGCTCTTCCCGCCAACCTCCCATCTAGTTGCCCGTCTCCTCTCCTCTCAATCCTCTCGCTTCCCTCTGCTGCCCTGCTTGCCCTCGCCGTCCGTCCTTCCTTCCTTCATGCATTCCTCCCTCCCTCCCTCCCTCCCTCCCTCCCTCCCTTCCTCCTAAATACGGCCGTTACTCCGTTCACCCTGTCTCCTTCCATCTGTTTCTCCTCTGTGCCATTTGTTTATACCACATGTTTCTCGCTTGTATTCCTTGCTCTGTGCCTATCTCAGTCCCTCTCACTTGTTCTCCTCACCTTATCTCATCTCCTCGGTTTTAAGACCCTTCTTCAGCAAATTACATTCGCAACCCGCCGACATCGTTGAGCAGGTGATAACTTGGATAATCGGAGGCCTCCGCTGACCTGCTGTGTTTCGACCATCACAGCGAACAGCAGCTGAGGCTGTATGCTCTCTACAAGCAAGCGACAGTATCATGCTTCTTCTCGCTCGCTGCAGCATCAGTGTGACATCGGCCCAGGTGGGCAAGTGCGATGCCCCGAAGCCAGGATTTCTCGATTTCGTCGGAAAGGTGTGATGGTAGGTGACTTTCAATGCTGATGTTGGAAGCAAAGGCGAAATGGTCGGCATGGAAGGAGCTTGAGGGAATGACGCAGGAGGAGGCAGAGGAAGAATATGTGAGGACAGCAATCAAGCATATGGTTGACTGAGATCATGTCCAGGTGAAGGAGGTTGACAGCATCTGTCCTCAGTGGAGAGGGAACACAGGGCAGGTGGAACCAAACAGGGATGTCCATGAGGAGATCGAGTTTCTCCTAGAGCGAAAGGACGACAATAGAACAAACGCTACCATGAAACTCGGGCCGTCGGTGAGCACCATGCGCAGTCAGTGCGAAGATGAAGTGAGAGTCGTCCGGAACGCCATCACATGCTCAGTTGCTTACACGATGGTGTGTAGGATGTCGCGAATGATCTTGACGTATTCGACCTCTACGGGAGAGGGAGGAAAGATGAACTGACGGTCAGCAGGAGGAGGATGAGGAGGAGGGGTCCCAGGAGACTGACGGTACCTGCAGCTGCTCCTCAAGGATGGCTCGCGTGTCAACCAGAAGGACGAAGATGGACAAGTAGCTCTCTTGTACCTCAATCATCCGAATGATGTCCACATGCAGACTCTCCTCCACTTCGCTGCAGACGCTGGAGACGCCGACCTCGTCACGATACTTCTGCAAGTACCGAGATCGTTGCCAGGAGTTTCTTCTTTGTCTGATATCCATGCAGGCCAAGGCGGAGGTCAACGCTGCAGCTTCGGATGGTCAAACTGCGTTGCATTGCGCGTGCGCATCCGATCGGCTGGAAGTTTGCAAGCTCCTCAAGGTAAGTTCACGCGCAACCCTATCCCTGTTGCCTTGCGTCCAGGGGTGTGATCTCAAATCGCTCAGGCTCATGGTGCTGATTGCTCCCTCAAGGATGAGGACGGGGTTCTACCTTGTGGTGACTCTTGCTGAACCATGTGTAGCTGCTTTTGACGTTTCTGCATGTCAGAACTTACAACATCTCAAGCGATCCGAGATGTTCTATCTTGATATCAATCTGGTCCGGAGCTAACTTTTTCGTTGTTTCATTCATTGCTGAAGTATAAGTTGGAAGCCGTAAGGGTTAAAGAATTTACAGGATTGCAACCTGCAAACAAATCAGACAAACGAGACGAACATGCCAATTAACGCACCGGTGCAGCATAAGCTCCGCTATCACCCTGAAACTGAGGAGCAAGCCAGTCAATCTGCAAGTGCGTCAATTCACCGGCCATTGTCTTCATCCCCTTCCTACCCTTGGTCCGTTGTTGGTCATCGGAGCATCAGGGCAGATAGTAACAGCACCCATGTCCTAACATGCAAGAGGTCAGAGTATGCAGGGGTAAGGCATCGTGTACCTCATCAGTGTTTCCAGTGGCAGCACATCCGAAAACGCCGGATACAAATCCATAAGCAAGCTTTTGGGTGGGAGCAATCTGGAAACGTGTTTAACGATTGATGAAAATACATTGTTCATGAGAAAAAAATGCTCCTGCTGTGCTTCTTTCACAATAAAGTGCTAATATACGCGAACCAAATCTCTTACAACGATCTCAACTTGTGCGAATCACTCGGCCTTGAGCTTTACGCGCTCACTCAGAGATTCCGACTTGATCGTCTTCAATACTTGATAGAAACTTGTTCAACCATCATATAGTTGGTCTAATAGTATCATTGCTCTTGAGACAACTTCCGTCCCCTAGTACTTCAACCACTCTGTCATGTATGGCTGAACATCTGCACAGGCTGCTCTGTTCGAATTCTCTGACATACATGTCCTGCTATCTTGCCCTCTTGCCCTTGATCCTGAACCCTCTTCCTCTCTCTGCATTCGTTCTGCTCATTTGCCCGTTTTCCCCGCACGCACCTGGAACAGCATTGTCGCGCCTCTTCGCAGCGTCTTTCCACCTGACGGTTATTTCAGCTAAAACGGTCAATTGGCAGTTAGATGTAACGGCACTAATAATAATAAGAGGCAATTTCCCCGGAAAGTTTCAGGTCTAAAAGTTGAAGTTTAGAGGGTTTTTTAAGTTGAAGTTTGAAAGTTTCATCATGGCTCAGTAATGGACGGATCTGGAGCACGGGGGGGTAGGACAGGACAGGACAGGACAGGACAGGACAGGACAGGACAGGACAGGACAGGACAGGACAGGACAGGACAGGACAGGACAGGAGTCTCAGACGTCATAGGTGTTGACATATTGAATGGGTTTTGTGACCGGGCTGCGTCCAGGAAGTCACCCACCGTCAACATTCTGGGTGATCTTCACCTCCTCGTCCTCGTCATAGCTCTTTGTTCTTCCTCCATGGCATCTGAAGAGCGGCAGGCGCCCACCAAGAAGCCGACGGGTGAGCTGGACCCTGAGAGAGAGGCTCCTTGCCGTTTGACCTGAGGGCAGGGAAGAGGAACGACCCTTCCAACAAGAGGCCGCAGGACAAGAACCGTTTCCTGCATCCTGCAGAAACCTCATGCTGGCAGGTCACCTGCCGTCTCCTGCAAGCGACTCCCTTACAGATGTGCAGAACGAGGTCAAGGAATGGACCTTCCATTACACGGAGAGGTTTCGAGTTGTTCCCCCCTACCGGTTCGAGTTCGGCACGTCGATCAAAGTCAGCCGGTGAGACTCTGTGAGGAGTCCACTGACAATGTGGATGCAGGCGAGATGGGTGGGAAGGCTGCTCCTGGAGGTGTTCTCGCAGGTCAGACGAGGAGGAGGAGGTGGAGGTGGCAGCAGAGGGCTGACTTGACCCCACCAGGAATTTCCGTACTTTGAGGACTCGCTGCAGTACTACACCGAGGTGTGTGAAGAGGAGGAGGAGGAAAAGGAGGGAGAGGAAGAGGGAGGAGGAGGAGGAGGAGGAGGAGGAGGAGGAGGAGGAGGAGAAAACGAAGACGCGATAGATTGACTTGCCTTCAAGGCCATGGAGCTCGGCAGGCTGAGAGTGAACGACGAGAAGGCGAGCAAAGGTTAGTCATGATGGCCTCTTGATACAGGTAGTCCAACATGAGCCTTGTAGATTACCGGTGTCGGGATGGAGATGTTATCACGCATCATGTCCATCGGCATGAGGTG